AAAATTGTATCTTTATTCACATTTTAAAATTTGAAAATACTCTTTAGTTTGTACATTTGGTATTTGTGGCTAACTGAATATTTGATTGATTTCACATAATGTATAATACATAACATGTTTCTGAAGTACAGATTGAGAGTGTTTACAAAATGGATATAGATTCTTTTTAAATTTCTTCTCCGAATGGATTCTGCCTTACCTGTCACAGTGAGCAAGCTTTATAGACAATAAAAGCAATCAGTAAAGTAGAAACAAATTGCTGCCAAGGTAAATCAAAGAACAAGCAGTAATTTGCCTTAAAATTTCCTAATCTGACTATAAGATTGTTTTTCATCTCAATAAATTTTAAGTGCCAAACCAACTGCAGTTAACTTCTAATTATTTACTCGAGTTCATCACATATCTATTACTTTACTTTGCCATCAACTAAATGCAAAGAAATGTGTACACTGTTAGGGAAAAGAAGAAGATCCAACTATAAAACTGCCACCTATTAACAACTCAGATAAAGATCTCATGATAAACCCTAAAAGCTAATTTAAGCTTTTTTGTTGAAGTTTTTAATTTATTATGCCTGACTTCTTTCTCATTAATAAATGTAGAGATGATCATACTTTGTTTTTAACCCAGGTTAGGTGTACTTTGACTTAAAATTTATAGGAAAAAAATAATTATAGATATTTTAAAACTTGTGAAGTTAGGTTTTCTTCTCTGTTCTGGAAACTAAATATATTGATATACAATGAAAATTAACTGATACTGGAATATAGTAGTCATAAACTTAACTAGTTCATTATAATTCTTTCCCAGGAGTTCTAATTTAAAAACAAACAGAGCAAAGTATGGGAAAAACAAAACAACACAACCTTCTCGGCCCTCTTTTCACTTGCCCTTAACTATAATGTTCCCCATAGATGCAAAATTAGTACTTTTCTCCTCATTCTGCATACATTCCCTAACAAACAGGGAACTATCATTCCCTCAACTGGATTCATTCAGTAAACATTAACAGAGCATCTGTATGAGCAAAGCATTCCAATTGTATGATGACAACTGAAAAATTTTAAAAAATCTACCTACATAGCCTCCCCTTGGGCCCTTCTTTTCTCCTGAGATGCAGAATCTTACTTGTACTGGCCTATAGATATTTCCAAAACAGGTTTCCTTCATCATGTTTTTTCAATTTTAGAAATAGCACCAACCTCCCAGGCCCTTCAGCCAAAAAATCCTCTATTTGTCTCTCCCTCAGGCTATGTATCAATTCATTGGCTATTAGTTATTGTAATTGTTAAAATAGTCTTTGGATACATTTTCTACTCTCCCTTTCAATTTCCATTGCTCACTTCTCTCTTCAACTATGGCAGCAGCCTTCCATGTGGGATCCTTACCCCAGGTGTGGCCACCACAACCAAGTCTCTACTTTACATTGTAATGAAATTTATTTTCCTAAATACCAAATCTAGTTAACACTATTTCCCTGCTAAATGTAGTGTCTCTTGTAAAATACAGCAAGTCCAGATATCTTAAGGCCCTTTGCAATCTGGCCTTGAGCCATAATTCCAATTTCAACACTCTCTGTAACTTTATATTTCTTCTTTCTTACCCACTTCTATCCTCATTAACCTTAACTCCAGTCATAAGTAACTTTATGCTATTTTCCAAATAAGCAAATATCCTGTCCCACCTCTCCACCTTTGAATAGTGTTTGCTCTCCTTACCAACTCTTCAGTGACCCAGTTCTAATACCACTTTCACAGTCCATAAAGTACTCCAGTTTTACACCACAGAACTTATTACTGTATTGTGAATTGTCATATATACTATAAAATAAGCTGAAATACTGTCCTATTAGACTAGGATCCTCAAAAGGCAGAATAAATGTCTTACTCATCTCAGTAACACCAGTGTTTCAAGTAGTGTCAAATACAAGCATTCATACTTCATTTTATTGCACTTTACAGATACTTCATTTTTTTTACAAAGTTAAGGTTTGTTGCAACTAGATGCCAAGAAAGTCTATTGGCACCATTTTTTACAACAGCATTTGCTTATGACACAGTTCATGTCTCTGGGTTACATTTGGACAATTCTCACAATATTTCAAACCTTTTCATTATTATTAAATTTATTATGGTGGTCTCTGATGAGAAGCTCTAGAAAGTTATCCAGAAGATCTAGCTCAGATAATGAAAGTGGCTACACTAAACAACAGATTTTTCAATTTGAATGAAACAGTCTTAGATTAGAAGAAGATGCCATCTAGGACTTCTATAGCTAGGAAGGAGCAGTCAGTACCTGGCTTCAAAGCTTCAAAGACAGCCTGACTCTCATGTTAGGGGATAATGCAGTGGGTGACTTTAAGCTGAAGCCAAGGCTCATTTACCATCCTGAAACTCCTAAGAATTTTGCTAAATATGCCCTTAAGAAATATACTAAATCGACTCTGCCTGTGCTCTAGAAATGGAACAACATACATATGGGTGACAGCACATTTGTTTTTAAACATGATTTACTAAATATTTTAAGCCCACTGTTGAGACTTACTGCTCAGGAAAAAGGTTCCTTTAAAATATTACTGCTCATTGACAATAATGGAGATGTCCAGTGAGAAAAATGTTGTTTTCATGGTTGCTAACACAAAATCCATTTGCAGCTCACAGACCAAGGAGAAATTTAGACTCTCCAAGTATTATTATTTAAGAAATACATTTCATAAGGCTATAGCTATCATGGATGGTGATTTCTCCAATGGATATGAGCCAATTTAAAACTATCTGAAAAGGTTTACCATTCTACGTGCATTAAAGAACATTTGTGATTCATGGGAAAAGGTAAAAAAGTCAACATTAACAGGAGTTTGCAAGAAATTGATTCAACCCTTATGGATGACTTTGAATGGTTCAAGACTGCAGTGGGGGAAGTAACTAGAGATGTGGTGGGAAGAGCAAGAGAACTAGAAGTGGAGTCTAAAGATGTGACTGAATTGCTACAACCCTATGATAAAACATGAATGGATGAGAAGTTGTTTCTTAAGGATGAGCAAAGACAGTGGTTTCCTGAGATGCAATCTACTCCTGGTGAAGATGCTGTGAAGACTGTTGAAATGACAACGAAGGATTTTGAATGTTACATATACTTATTTGGTAAAGCAGCAGCAGGGTTTGAGAAGACTGATTCCAACTTTAAAGAAGTTCTACTAGTAAATGACATCATTTACTGTGGGTAAAATGCTATCAAACAGCATTGCATGCTCCAGAGAAATCGTTTATAAAAGGAAGAGGTAACTGATACAGTGAACTTCATCACTGCATTCTTTTAAGAAATTGCCACTGCCACCCCAACCTTTAAAAACCCTCATCAGTCAGCAGCCATCAGGATCAAGGCAAGACCCTCGCCAGCAAAAAAGATTGCAACTCACTAAAAGCTCAGATAATGGTTAACATTTTTAACAATGCAGTATTTTTTAATTAAGGTATGTATATTGTTTTTTAAGACATTATCGCATACTTAACAGACTACAATATAGTGTAAATATAAGTTTTGTATGTTTTGGGAGACCAAAGAATTCATTTGACCCACTGTACTGTAGTGACCTGAAAAAGAACCTGCAATATCTCTGAGGTATGACTGTACAAAACAGTTACTTGTTGGATGCCTAATTCAGTACAAGGAAAGATAACATATATATGAGAAATCATTATTTTTCTACATATATCTGTGTGTGTGTGTGTATATATATATATATATATGTATGTATATAAATATTCATACAAACATTACCTCATTTTTAACATCACAATGACTATTTAGTGATAATGTATTTTAATGTACACAGAGTATAATAAAACAGGTACTAACTTATTATAGTCAATAAAAATAACATGATACAAAGTCAGTCAACCAGAGAAGTGATTTCACTGTAATTCTAATACAGTCTTAAGGACAAATTTTATTTCTTCAGAAATCAAAAAAATCTTTTAATTTTTTAAATGATTACAAATATTTCATTACTGACCTATAGTATTCAGGAAAAGAAAATGGCACATTTATATTTATATGCCTTTAATAACAATATTTATATAGTTCAATATTATTTCAAGTTATATGGTAATACCTGTCTGAAGATTAAACTTCTAACTTTTTCTCCTAGTAAACTTGGTCTCCTTAGGAAACCAAGTTCTGGATTAAGTAAACAGAGACATCAAAAAGGAAATTGGATGTTTCTTATAGAGAAGTTTAGTAAGCTACAATATATATATAATTACCCTTTTGCATTCCAGAAATATTTCATTGAAAGAAAGAATGGGGCTGAAATCAGCACTTCTTTCTGTTGTAAAAGTCAGTTCTCTATTCCCAACTTTCCTTTTTCTCCAGTTTTGCCGTTGTGAAGTTCCAGTGCCACATGCTGGCTGGACCCTACCTTACGTTAGTTTCATTCAGTGAAAAGTGTTTTCTTGAGTCAATAAAACCTCTAGGAACTTTCATTCTATTTAGCTGAACTTTATTTGGTTTTCTGATTTAGTCTCTGATTCTACAAATTGTGTTGATCTTTTCTTCATTTAAATATTCAGCAGCTGCGTGTCTTATTAGAAGCAGAGAGAGAGCAGTTACATGGCACTATCACTGAGTATAATGAACATATTTAAGACAAAGCATTTTTAATACTATAATTAAAATGTCTCAAATCAATTATAATTGCTTTAAAACCTTTCCATTCTCATTACTATTTACATAAATATGTAATATATAAACTCAAGCCATGATTATTTTTACCTCTCTATTCTAATCTAAGGTAAACATCAAACCAAATCATATAAAGGCAAAAAACACGTAAAAATAAAAAAAGCAAATAAAATGAAAAAAAGTGAAAATGTAGAAAAAGGATGGCTGTGGATTTGAAAGGCTTCCAAAAATAAAAGTTTGTGGAAGTAATGAGGTAAAGAAATGAAAAGTGGATGTAATATGTATAGATATTTGAAAAATGGATCCTTTTTCATTACCATTATGACGTGTTTCACCAAGAGGCTCAAGTTTTGGAAGTCTAGTGACTTTGGGGGTTCCCCAGCCAACTAAAAACAATAAAAACATTTTAAAGCACTGTTAAACAATGTCTCTTTAGGTCTCCCTCAACAGGAATGTATAATACATTCTATGTCAGTTCATATACACTGAATGAATCAGTACTGAATAGACATATACCCACTTTAAATGACTCCTATTTTTCAAAATGTAATTACAGTCTAGTAACATCTGCTTTAAGTGTTTATTTATCTTTAGTTAAAAATACAAGCATCTTCACCACCATCATAAATAACTATCCTAACTCTAGCAGAGACTAACAGAAATGTTTACTTACTAAATGAATACTAGAAATGAGTGTTAAAATAATTCTCAAGGGAAAATGCTACCATCTAAAGCTTTCCAGCAGGGTAAAAAGACATGATAAACACATACACTTAGATATCTATTGAGTACCTATTGTATGTGAGGTAGTATGCCTAGCACTGAAAAATTACTCACAATTATTGGGCAGTTAGTATGTTCCAGTACTTTACATGAAACATTCCATTTAATTCTCATAACAACTTAAAAGGTTGGTACGTATGTTGTTAATATAATAGAAAAATTTACATACTGATTTCAAAGCAATCTTTCAGGATGAAAGATCTTATTTTTAAAAGCTCATATTAGCCATTCATCTATTCATTAAACTTAAATTCCTTTTAGCAATCTGGGTACTGATATTTCAAATAGGTCTTGAATCCATTCTAGGAAGTGCTTGGTAAGGTTTCTCTCATTAATTCTTACTTACTTTTTTACTTTTACAAAACATTTTTTGATTAAAAAAAGCAATAGACAGTTATGTTGATAAATTTTGAATTAAGTAGACAGAGCAAAGAATTCTACCTCTTCCATCAATTCACAAGATAATGAATGTACTGAATAAACAACTACACAATTTCTTTTTCCTCACTGTTTAAAGCAGTATTTCTAAATTCAGTAACAATTTACTCACCAGGAGGAGGAGGTGGTGGTGGTGTTGGACTCTTAGAAGCAGAGTCATCTGTATTAACAGGTTCTACACGGTGACTCCTTTTTATTCTTAGTTTCTTCATTTTCTTTTTACTGTTATCTGTAAGAATATAAACATGGAACTTTACATCTTTAGGAAAAGTAAACTATTATAAAAAATAAAGAACAGACTAGAATACTGATATTATCATTACCACAGAACTATATTTTTTATTCAGCTTTGATTGTTACCAAAGAAATGTGAACTTGCTTTTACTAAGAATAAATTTTTTAAATGATTGTTTATTGAATGAATGATTAATACAAACAGCAAAAAGCCTGTATTTTAAGTTCTGTGAAAAGGTACTCTGAATACAAAAATTAAGTTTATATTCCAAAAGCAACATTTTTTCCAAACCTCATATTAAGTAAATACAATTGTTTAATTGCAGGTATTTCTATGAAACTCATAATGGCCCAGAGAAAAAGGAATGGTGTTGATTTGTCTCAATAAGATATACAGAAGATTCTAGGTATAAACAGTCCAAAAACAAGCCTTTGAAATGTGAGAAAAAGGTCCCAATATAATCTAATCATATTACCTATTAAACCGCAAACAAGGCATGCCCAATATAAACATGTAAACAAAATCACATCAATAGAACTGGCAGAATTGAATTTGTGTTCTTTCTAAAAATAACGATTTATAGATTCTCACTTAAATGCACATGAACCTTTTGAGAACATCTGGTTGTTAACATGTAAACTAGGATGCATAGTAGTTAAATAATCATACCAGTCAAAATTATTGAAATCTTTTAATTGACAATTCCAAACTGCTAAATTTATATATATGTAATATATTTTCAAAAATGAGAATTATCTATTACATAATAACCAACATCTTTGAAACCTATAAAATAATGTGAAATAAAAACATATTGAGGAACACATTATTTTTTAAAATAAATTAGGTCATTTGAGACATTTTGCTCCAGACAGAAACAAAGATATCATTTATAATTAAAGCTACAAGTTTTACAGCTGGGAGAAAAGAAAGCCTCCAGAACAATATGGTGCATTAGGATGGCCAGTAGCTCCATGTTATGGAAGAGCATAGGATATGGAGCAGATGATCTTAACTGGGGTCTCAGCCCAGCCACAGATGAGACATATGATCTTAAACAAGTTATTCAACCTCTCCAAGTCCCTGGTTTCCCATTCTATGGAGTGAAAATAACATACCCGAGGATTGCTATGTTCAATAACATAATACTGTGTTAAATAAGGCATCTGAAACCATGTTCTAAAGTGTAAAATGTTGATTATAATTACTATTATTACAGTTATATGAGAGTGTCTTAGATCTTCCTCTACTATATTTTCAAATAATCTGCTAAATCATTTTTCTCTCTAACAATATATTAGTGTTAGAAAGCATTCCTTCAACATATTGAGAGGCCACTTTATTTTCTATTTTAATTCTGTTGACAGAGCTATATGGGTATGAATGTGGTTGCCCTAACTTCAAAAAGTATAACTTTGAAATCTAATTATTTTATATAGCAAAATATCCATGTTAGCTTATCTCAGAGGTTGATATCTTATTCTAATAAACTGACACTGTACAAAACTTCTTATATAGAATGGAACCACACTGCTAAGAATAGCAAGGAAATAGTGGTCACGGGGCACCTCCCATGTGTCAGACCTATGCTAGGAACACAGTAAAGTAATTTTTATTATAAGTAACCCTAAAAGCTTTGTGAAAAAAGACGACAGTTATTCCCATTTTATATATGAGGAAACTAAGACTGAAGAATGTTATTATATAATGTACCATATATCTGGTTAGATGGGAAAGTCAGGATTCTATCCCAGGTTGTCTGATACCAAACACACACTGTCTTTCCATGACACCAAAAGACATGAACTTCCTGTTAAATCACTTAACCACTTAAAAAAAGAAAACCAATTATGAATCAAAGATTTTGTACGATACTAAAATCAGAGGAAAATGGCTATTTGATAGACTTTAAATTTGATTATGTATTCATCCTATAGAAATACCAACTCAATAAAGGAAATGACACTGATTATGAGGCTTAAAAAAACAATGCCTCCCCCCCAAAGGAAACCTTTAAAGTATTAAATACATTCCAAGGATTCCTGGGGATATGCTATAACCTAAATTAATGAAAATAAAATTGAAAATGGTATTTTCTGCTAAAATTCTTTCAAGTTACAAAGGACTACATTTTAAGGCATCATGAAGAAAAACATAAGCTAGCGAATTGACTAACAATTAACTAAAAACCATGAGAAAACCACAATAAATAGTGCATTTGGAAACTAAAATATTACAGTACAATTTTTGTGAAAATAATCATGACAAAATGAAATAAGTATAATATACAAATTTTAAATACTAGATTTATCACCTGATTCTGATGATCGCTGGTCTGTCTCATCTTCATTCTCCAACTGCTGTGTTAATGCCTCCTTATAATTTTCTACTACTCCATACTCATTGTTTTTCTGGCTGCTGTCACTAAATTGGCTCTGTGTCTCTATTTGTTCATGCTCCATTTTATGTTTCAAGGGGCGGTCATCACTGTCTTTATCCATATTTTGCCTCTTTTTCTCTTTTTCAATTTTTTTTTCATTCTAATAAAAATGAAATACATTATCTTTAACTTAACAGTTGTATTTAAGATAATTTTAAGGAAGAAATCAAATAATCCAGAAGCATTCTGTAATTTCAGGATACTGTGATGTTTCCATTAAAATTTTTTTATGGAAAATATCATTAAAACATACTAATTGCAAAACATGCAGAAAACAAAGTATAAAGAAAGAAAGCATTACCAATAATTGCACAATCTAGAGATGACCACTATTTGGTCCTCTATGAAGTACTTTTCTTTGCTCACCCCACACACATACAGACATGCACTACCCACAAACATACATAAATGTGACTGTCTCTTTATATATGCATGTATTATTTATTTACAATTACTTATGATTTACTTGATTTACGAACAAAAAAGAACTGTTTTTATTTAAGAATACATTTCTCTCCTGTCAATGAATACATGCAAGTGCTTAGAACAGTGCCTTACACATGGGTAAAGTGTTAATGACATAAATGTTAAATGATGCTGTATGTGTTAGCTATTATTATGTTCATCAATTACATTATCATTTTCAATGGTTATATCATAATTTACCAATTTCCAATCACTGGACAAAAAACTATTTTTATTTTTTACTATTACAAGAAAAACAATTATTGTATTAGTCCTTTAGAATAAATTGCTAACAGCAGAACTGTTCAATCAATGGATAAACACATTTTAAAATGTGACATACTACACACTTCTCTTCAGAAAAACTAAAATCAATTTATATCCCAGTCAAAGGCTTGGGAGAGTAGTATTTCCCCACATCTGTTTCAGTGCTGTATATTATTATCAATCCTTTATATATTCTCCAAATTATATATATTTATCTTCATCTTAGTGTTGGTTGAATTTGATTTAGTTTATTTTCTTTCATTACTAGTGAACATAAACTATTAAATACCCATACTGCCACTGAGTTTTTAATTTAGGGAACTACCCAGGGTAACCCAATATCCATTTTTGTATTAGATTCTCATTATTTTCATAGTAATTTTAAAGGGTTTTTTTTAGCCCTATGTGTCTCATATACTTTTCATTAGGGTTCCTTTGGGTTTTTTGTCTTTAAGTTTCTAAAATAGCTCTTTAAAAATTGAATACAATAAAAAATCTATTTTTCACTTTATGATTTGTGGCCTGATTGTCCTGCTTTGAAAGTTTTTCTTCCTCCAAGTAGATGTAAATGTTTAACTATATTATGTGTTAGTACTTTTAAGCCTTCTTTTTTATATACATTTAAATCTTCTGGAATTTAATTTGATATACAGCTTTCAATAATTTTACTTTGTTCCAAATGATTGTTCACTTGTTCAAACACTTTTCTCCCAGATTTAAAATGTCACCTTTATCTTATACTAAATGCTATACAACATTAGGTTTGTTACTATTTGTTCAACTGACCTGTCTATTCTGAAACTAATACTTCACCATTGTTATTACCTGTAATAAAAACAAAGGAATGTACGGTACTTCTTCTCTAAAATGCAAACACTTTAAAGGAGTGGTTTTCTGGAGGGGGGAGGAAGAACGTGTGCTTATTAAAAAGGAAAAAAAGGAAGACTATAGGTAATTGGTTTTCATTTGTTTCATTTCTTTACTGACCATTGTCTTAAAATTATCATAATTTAAAAGTGTAATAACTGTACTTTTCTTTGCCACTAATTAATTCAGGGTCATTCAATATAAGGTATACTATGCTGAACACCACTATTGTTCACATCTTTTGTTATATATTAGTTGGTAGAAGCACTAATGCCTTCTAAGTAATTTATAATCATACTATAAAATAACTAGTCATTATTTACAAGGCAAACTTTATTACACAAATAAATTAGTGTTTCAAAGTGAAAAGTTAAACTTGATTTCCTTCTCTACCAATATTTTTTAAAGTACATAAAATAAAACTTAACACACATAATGTTTAATAAGATAGAGACAAAATAGCTCTAGGTAAAGACTGCTTTACTGTACTTAGAAAAGCACATACTTAAGGCAAATACAATGGCGTTAATGAAAAGGTTAAATACAGTTATCCTTCTGGTACCTTACATAAGATAAAATAGCTCATATTAACAATTACTTTGCAAAGTAAAGCAAATCTCTCCAATCATCTTCTTACCTGTGGAGCTACCTCCCTCCTCAGCAGCAGCCCCAAGGAAGAAATAATGATCCACCTTTCTGGATGAGCACCTGTGTGGAAGGAGGCAGTGATAGCGGAAGAGCAATGGAAAACATACAGGCGGGACCAGCAAGCCAGAGGTTTCATTCAATTCTGTGTGAATGGAGGAGTTTAGGAAGCTCTGCCTCTCAGGAGGCATGACTGTTGAGGGAGATTAAAGCAGGGCCAATGCAAACTCTGTACCAGCAGAAAATGAAAACAAAGATACAGGTATACAGACACACTCTTGCACACGCACACACACACACCCCTTTAATGTCTTCATGATTAAAATCTACAAATTAATTTTGGTAAAACTTCTGAGAATAAAAAGAAAAATTAATTATATTCAGATATACAGGACTTTGTTATAGTTTCAAACATTCTTTAGTATCTTGGGAAAATAATTAGAAAATGATTTACATACTCTAATGTATCATAAGCATCTAATATTGCTGTAAAGAAACAGCAATGCAGGGACAAAGATATAAATTAAACGTTATTACTATCATGAAATAAATGACAAAAAAGAGATTCATCACAATAGCAACTATGATAGTTGCTATATTCAATCTTCATTTTCGTTTTCAATTTATTTTGAAGTCATCTTTCCTTACCTAGAACAGAAGGTAAATTTCAAACAGAAGAAAAAGCAGCAAATCTTTAACCTGTGTCTACCACTTACTTCCTTTTACAGACATGATCAACCTCTGGTGAAACACTACTTTCTATTTCCCTGCCTTATTTCCCAACTTCCAAACTTTAAAACTTAAGATATAAAAATTACATTTGCTACCATCCATACCTCAATAATTACAGATGATATTGGCTGGAAAGGATTAACAATTACTGGTTCCGGATCCAACTCAGCAAGACCGCTGGTTCCATCAAGTTCAGCCTGCTCACGCTCTCTTTGTTCTCTAATGTTTGAGAAAAAAATTGGAATTCCTTATGAGAAAATGATGAACCACATTTATTAAGAGCACTTGTAATAGGTTTAACCTAATAAATTTAGTAATTAAATGTCTGGACATAGCTTTGAATTACTGAGAGATTTTTGAAAGTCCTTATGCAAGCAGGTAACAGGCTTCTACCCTCATGTAAAGATTAACCATTTGAGTTTTGAAAGGAAAAAATGCTGACAAAAATGACATTCCCTATGACTGATTTCTTTATATCAGTGGTGCATATTAATTGTTTCTCCATGTGCTAGGGTTTATAGTTATCAATTACTCTCCCAAACAAATGCTGTCCTCTTCACTGATGTTAACAGACAGTAAGCCCTTGTGTTAAGGGGGGGTCAAGTTGTACATCATATCCATATAAACTAGATAATAGCTGTTGCTCTGTAATACCCTGCATTATAGTAGAAGAGGCTATAAAAATAAGTTGCCCTATATCACTCAGATTAAGTATTTCCATATAGTTACTACTGAAACATTTACTGTATGTTTGATAGTTGCCCCATACATGAGAAGTGATGTTACAAAAACAAGTAAGTGAATACAGAATAAGTATTGTAGATCTACAACTAGACTCTTAGTATAGCAATGTGAATATTCCTTACTATTACATTTATTAATTGTGTTCTATGATGAAAAGACATATACTTTCACTTTGAACCTCAGAAGCCAAGATTTAGAGATCCACAATTTCCCACTTCTATGACCTTGGACATGGCAGCTATATATTTGAGCCTGTTTTCCCATAAATGTGGATAACAATACCCACCTCATAAGGTTCTTTCAGATAAATTAATATGTGAAAGCTCTCTGTAAATGAACATACTTATACTATAGTAATTGTTATTAACGTTATTCATTTATCAGTAAGCAATTTCAGGTATCTAGTACCAATACACTATTTTCAGATACCAACAATAGCATGTCTTATTTTTTCTTCAAAAGTATCTGAAACTATTAGCTTCAATTTAATGAAGTTAAAAGTTTTTTGTGTTTTTTAAAATCACTCCTCTCTAAATGCCTGTTTACTTTTAACTACAGAGTCTCTGCTCAACAAGAGGCCTCAGATCAAAAGTGACAAAATTAAGAGAAAGGAGGAAAGGATAATGGGTACCACAAAAGCCTTCCATAACGTGATCTGTAATATCTTTATAGACAAGGTAACATCTTGAAAAAAAAAAAGGATTGACATTAGATTTCTTTTATCCAACACAATATTCTTTTTATTTTTGTTTGTTTTCTAATGCTGGAAACAAAGGAGTTCAGAAAAGTGTGGCTGTTTTATTTTTATAAATACATAAAAGGTATCCCTACATGAATGACTGGTTTCACTGAGCTTTATGTCATGAAAATATACACTAGGATAGAAAACCAAAGATTTGTATAGAACTAAAACCTCACATTGGCATCAAAAGAGACCTAGTGAATGACCTGCTCATATTATCAAGTACTTGGGGGTAGAGAGTTATCCCCACAAACATTTCCTTCCTTTAAGTCCTATCTCTGGTTACATGAAAGATACCAACAATCAGAGGATTTCTTCGACAGTGCAAGAGAGCCCCTCACAGAGGCCTCACCAAGGGGTAGGGTAGTTTGTCACGTCTGATCTATCAGGCTGCAACTCTGCTGAAGCATAAGGAAGGCCAATATTGTTTGGGATTTTTTCTTCTTTTTTTTTTAAATTGAAGTATCATTATTGTATACCATCTTATATCAGTTTAAAATATACAACACAGTGACTAAGCAGTTACCAATATTATTAAATCCTTACCTCCTCTAGTACAGTTACTTTCTGTTAATGTAGGAAGATGTGACAGAATCACTGGCTTGGCTATATTCTCAACACAGAAGGCCAATATTGTTTAGATGAAAGAAAACTTTGGATTTTACAGTAGTTCACTTAAAAATCTTTTCATTTCTTCCCTCCCCAACCCTGTAACAATCCAGTAGAGGAGAAAAGAAAATCTAGGGATTAAGTATTAAATTCAACTTCTAATCAATCTGAGTACTTTCTAGCAGCATTAAAATTATTACAAATAATTCTGTAGTAGAATTTATGTAACCTTCTACTTTAATTCAGAGTTTGTTCAATTTAGGTATAAAAGTTTTTTTCAGGTAACAGTTTGAAAAAATTTTAAAAACATATCTTAAAAACCTGAGATAATGCAATTTAGTCTACTTTCTGACAAAATTAGTGTTGAAGGTCCGATTTTGCTTCAATCGATGGATCCACTAACAGCTTATCTTCTATCTTTGCTGAGACTAAAGAAGAGTTTCTCAATCTATTGACAGATTGGGCCCAGTAACTCTTTGTTGTGGAGACAGTCCTGTGTGTCACAGGATGTTCAGCAGCATCCCCGGCCTCTACCCACTTGATGCCAGCAGCACTCCACCTTCCCCTGCTGTGACGGGCGAAAAAAAAAGGTTCTCAGAAACAGAACTGCCCCATGGATTGAGAACCACTGCACTAAGGTACCCTAAGAAATAAGTAATAAAAATCTTAAAATGCTGGGAAATAATTAATGCCTAAGGAATAAATTTAATTACTATAATACCATAACTAGGAAAATTAGAACCCAACACCCAAATTTGTGTAGAAAAGACCTAAAAGACAGAAAATTTACCGAGTGTCTGTCTTCTTCATACAGAAAAGGAAACCGAACAGACAAAACTGAAACAGTGTTCATAAACTTGTAGTGTTGTTGACTTTACAAATATGTTGTGATACAAAATTATTCTACTTACCTTTCTTCTCTTAATTTTCGCACTCTTTCAGCCCTTTCTCGTTTTTCTTGTTCTTCAAGAGCACGTTGTTCTGTTGTGTCTTTTTGGATACGTTCACTTAAGGCATCAAAATCTCTTGCAATATTATGTAGCAACCAATAAAGGCCTTTTTTAATGGACTTGTCGATTTTCTTTCCATATCCCAAGACTGCTGAACAAGGTTCCTGAAAAACAGCAATTTGACATACAGATTAAAAGTTAAAGTTCTCCACAAAAATCTATTCATAAACCATTAAGCATAATTACTGGCAAACCAAATTAACTTTTTAAATTAATAACATGAAGCATCTGCTTATTTAACTTAACAAAACATACCTTTGCAATGATTGCTAACAATACATAGGGGTTGAAGTATTTTATGGATAGTATCTGTAAGTTATGAGAGATAATGAGGCACGAGAAGTCAATAGTGCCAGTAAAAATTTTACACAAACTCACTGGAAGACAAAATTCAATCTCCAGAAGAAAAATACCCTATTTATTAAAAACAGTAGAAACTTTTAATTCCTTATACCCAGGGAAATTTATAACAGCAAGTATCTTTTGAGATTGACAGCCTAAAGTTCATCTTCTGAAAACCAGAATAAATGACTAAATCCTCTGTCCATCCTTCATAACACTGTATAACTCTCCTGATATGATTCTTCAAAACTCATTATAAACCTCTCCTGTGTTTAAATTTTGTATCTAATACTTTTCTTTATCATTTTACAAAATTTACATCATGATGTGTTTGTATAGCAAATCAAAAGTCTTTGAAATAACAAAACATAGTTTATGGAAGTCAGTACAACTAAACTGAAAACAAATATTATAGTATTAAGTACTATCAACACAACAGTGAGAATATGATTTCCTGGGTAAAAAAAAATTCTTTCAAAACACCAATAATTTTGTTAGCTGCCTATCACCTAACTGCCTAGCACCTTTATAAACAAAAACTAAGTTATACAGAATGTATTTCAATGGGCAAAAAAAACCAAAAACTTACTATTTGACATAGGCTCTTGTGCTCATTGGCCAATTTTTCCAGAGACAGACATTCAATCACATCAGCTTCTCCTAATGCCCCTTCTTTGTCTTGTTTATTTGCCAACCTAGAGAGACATAAATTAAGTAGTTTTTTAGTAAATATATAATCACCTAAAAAAATTTTGACCCTGTTCTTATTCTGAAGTTTTAAGCCTACTGATTACATAATGAACTGGTTCTGTAAGGGAGTACTGTAATATCTATTTCATCATTTTTCCTGTATTGATTACTGCTAAAATAAGTTAGTAAGAATTGGATTATAAAAGGGAGATCAGGTAAAGAGAAATGTCAAGAAAACAAGCAATAATAGGTCAACAGGCCAACAGAAAAAGCTACAAAAAGAAAAGAAGTGGACAAGTTTCCACAGCCCTCAGCCATCCGTTCAAAATTCACATTACATCCTTATCTTCTTAAAATGTAAACTGTACCATTTTAAATACCCAATATTCATTCTGAGCTTGTAATAGTTGTGCTCATCAGCATTTCAAATGTGTGAATGAGTCCACATAAATGTACCATTTACTGGAGAAGTGGGCCACTTCTATCTAATTTACACAGCACAGCACTGGGCATAATAAATAATAAACATTATACCCAGTTAGGAAGAAGTTGGGGACCAAGAATATAAAAAAACAAAAAAGATCTAAAAAAAAAAAAAAAACAGGAATTACCACAAAATACACTATTTGCCTATCAGATGGCAGAGGTCAAAAAGTTTAATAAAACACTGTCTTGGTCAGTGTTTGATAAACATTTCCAAGGCAAATATATGTTATTTAATAAATATATAGAATAATAAATCTAATGAACCCTTATCACCAGTATTTAAATATTAGCAACAGTATGGCATTCTTGCTTACCTACAGATCTTCCACTTTTCTCCCCTCAGCCATGCCACTTTACCCAAAAATTAAAAAATTAAAAAACATTACCACAATAACACTATCACACCTAACAAAATTAATATTCCTCAATATCTTTTTACAAGCATGATACTTAAATTCAGATCCAACCAGATATTTACAATTAATTTCTTTAAGTCTTTCTGAATCACTATTGTCCCCCACCCAACACCCCCACCCCTGCAACACCACCACATTCTTCCCATGTTATTTTTTTTTTAAACAGAACAAGTCGTTTTTCTCTAGAATTTCCCACATTTAGGACTTGGCCGATTATCTTCCCCTTAGGTCATTTAACAAACCCTGTATTTCCTATATCTGGTTGTCAGATGTACAGGTTGGGTGAGTTTCAAGTTGAAGTCTTTTAGCAAGCATGGATGAGTTTCAAGTTGAAGTCTTTTAGCAAGCACGTTTTATGGATTATAATATCTGGTTGTACCGCTTTAGCAGTGTTGAAATGATCAGTGGATTCAGTGGCAGTCAGCCTGATTCATCCAAAATAAAATTCCCTATTAACCTTTCACCTAATGATTTTAGCAGCTTAATTCCCTTAGTTTATAAAGAGCTTATAAAATCATGACTTTTCTAGTTCTATATTCCTTCTGCATTTACTTGCGTTTTTCCTAAACATTAAGCTTTCTTCAACTATTTGATGACTCTTAAGATACAATTCAGAGAAGTCAAGATAAATGTTGGATCCTTTGCCTTAATTTCCTAATTTTCATAATAATGTATCAATGTTCTATCAATCCCCTGTGGTGATCATGTTACTTCTTTGGTTTGTGGGGGGATATCATTATGACTTCATGGATTTTAAAAATATATTCGGTGTGTTTCAATTTTTGTAGTTACTGTTCTGTTTGGAGCTCAAAGTTACCCATTTTTGCTAGCAGGAGTCTCCTTTGTGCTAGCTCCTGTGTTCTTTTTATAAAGGCCAAGTCTTTGGTAACTTCTTTGCTTTCTCATAAGAAACAATGTCCCAGATATGGAATCATCCACTTCCCAAAGGAGCCCTGGTTCCTTTCAGAAGGAACTATCTGTAGTATTTTTAGATCAGATTCTGGGCGCTATGGACATTTATGGCTATCGACTTGCCAGTACATCTGGAGACTTTCAGTGTACAAAGCTAGGAAAAACGTGTTTTTTTAAGAAAAAAAAATTTAATTCCTGAGTTTATAACCATATAACATCAACTATTATCAAGTGTTTACTTTGCTTAATTTTTATCTTTTCTTCTTATGCTGAAAACTATAGTTCCTAGTAACACTGACATTAACTTGCTTTATCCTACAATATATATAATTAAGGGTTTCAATATAACAAAATTAATACTAAAAATAAGACTACTAAATGCAGGTTAGAATGTCTTTGTGGTTATTTTCATCTCCAAGATATATCCCATAGGATATGCAGTCAAAATACTGGGTTTTAACATTACCTATAAAAATCCTTCTCTGTGTGGTTATGCCACTTTCTAGATATATACAGCTAGGTTCATTTGTTTCTGGCTGCTTTTGCTTCTTAGAGGTGGCTTTTTTATTTTAAGATTTAATTTTTAAAACATTTATATGGTTCCAAATTCAAAATTATAAAAACAAGGTATAATCAAAAAGAACTATTTTCCATCTCTGTCCCTTTGCCTCTCTCTATTCCTTTCATTCTCTTCTAGATAACCATTTCATTAGCTTTAGTTCATCCTACAATGCTTCTTTTTTGAAATATGGGGGAAATGGCATTTTAAAGACAACAATTTGGTCACTGTGGATATTCACTGCTAATGACTGATTAGATGGTGTTTGTGTGTGTATCTCCACCCTCCTTTTCTTCCTCAAAAGCTAGCAGTCTATACACATTCTCATATACCACCATGCTTTTTCTTAAAATAATAAATCCTAAAATTACTTGGATGCAATATAAAGAAATCTTCTTTATTACTATATCCTTCACTAATGAGCACGATGCTCATTACACAGGTGTTTCATCATTTATTCAGCCAGGCCCATACTGAAGGAAGAACTTCTGGGTTATTCCCAGTGTTCTGTTTTTACAAAGAGTGCTGTGAAGAATGAGAATGTAAAGGAGTTCTTATTCTGGGGACAAATTCCAGGAAGAGGTATTCCTAAATCAAAGAATAAATGCAAATGTTATTTTGATAGATATTACAGCAATGTCCTTCCTCTCACTCTCGTATTATTAACAACTCAGGCAGAAAAACAGGAAGTGTAAGGAAATGTAGTAGTATGATAGAAATTTCATTTCTAATATTTCCTACAAACTTAATTTTGAATTGTTATTTTGACATAAACAGTGTAACCTTGTCATACCACTTTGGCTTTTCTATATTGAAAATTATGGAAGAAACTTACTTTAAAATAAAAACAGGTATTATAAAAAGAAAAGTGGGGTGGAAGTTTTAAAGACATGAGTCCGGAAATTTCTGGCTATTGTAATCCTGAAATTCAATGATATTATGAGTAAAGCCCATGGGATTTTCTAAAATAGGATAGAATTCAATCATTTTTAATTATTAGGACAAGAAGTCTTTATACCAAGCTTCTTTCCGTTCTTTTTGATTTATTTATTCCAAATTCTGTATATTTAGCAAATGTTGATACCTAAAGAATAAAGCAACCTTTGTTTAAATATAAAGCCCCTTTTCTGTAATACATTTTATGTACAATATAGGATTAGAATTACCCAGTCTGTGCCAAATACTCTATGTAGGCAGTTCAACAAGGACTTCCTGTTGCCTACTAGCTCCATTGAATGATATTACTTAATCTAAAATATGGGCGGCTAACAGGCAGAACCAGATTATCCAGGTGTGAAGTAAGCAATTTGTTCTTCTCATTTGATATTAACAGCAGAAGGACAACTTTATCTCTAACTTATTTGATTTTATTATTTGGCTTTCAATTAAGTTAACTATATGAAAATCATACAGAAATAGCCCATGAACTATCAGCCAGACACTTTTGATCAAAGCATTTCAGATGATACTCAAGTTTTTCTCTCAAAGGCAAGACTCCAACGTCGCAGGTTGAAAAGCAACAAAAGGAACAGGATAAAGGTAAATACACCACTCTTTTTTTGGTATTATTTAATGTGAGACACACATAAACTGAAATCTGTGACATTTAAAATAGCTCAACAGATTAATTAGAGTTACTTGTTTTGCTCAGATTTGGACTACAGACAGCTGATCTCACATTTACTACCTATATACTAAACGGGATTTGGGTTTAAAGCTCTTAGTAGACCACTATAATCAAAGCCAACTTTTTCTCCTAAGTCCTTTAAAATATAACTTCTCATTTTGGGAAAACTAGAAAATCAGATACTATAAAAATAAACTTGAAATTCTTTTATAGACAAACTATAAATTAGCTATGGTGTGACTGCTTCAGAGAACACTTTTACATTTTTAAAATTTTATTTTTCAAAGTTACTTTATAATTGTTACCATGTAGAATGTAATAATTAACCATTCAAATAAAAATAACTTTTAATTAATGTTTTAAGGGTGGGCTTGAAAGTTGGCTATGCAATTTTAAATGTAAAAATAAAATTTTAATTTGAATATAAAAATCATTTTATGTATGTACAGCTTACTTTAATCACATGAGTTTACTGTCTTGATATTAAGCAAAAAACAATCTTATTACATTAAACAAGTTAATTTAACAATTTACTTACAGTAAGTAAAAAGTAGAATAAAAAAGCACTGGAAGAATACATTATAAAAAAATTTAAATTTAGAATATATTCAATTTGCAATAATTTTTCTTAGTTTGCTTTCCTCATTTTAAGTAGCTAAAGAGGTGGACTATTCCAGTAACAACTGTTTTCACCCTGAACTAGGGAAATATTGCAAGATGTCTTCATTCACAAAAAAATATTTCAGTTTATGTTAGATAAAGATTGATTACATTTCCTGAAATATTTAATCAATGTAACAACTATAGAAAGAAATGTCTTACTTAAAAAAAACATATACATATATATATATATATACACATATAATAGCTATCCTAGGGCATATTAAAGCATTATGTAAATTTTATTCATATTTCTCTTCCCGGGAAATGTTCCCTATCTGCAATTGGGTGGAGAAACTTTTATTTGAGTTACTCAAGTTTACTTTTCTATTTCCCAGAATAAACTGTCAAAGTTGATTGTAGTATTTATAAATTAGAACTCCAACTTTCTTTTTGCAAACATTATATTTAGACTCAAAGATACAGTCATTTATTGACAGGATTCAAACCGTTTAGAAATGCAGTAAGTCAAACATGCTAAAAGATGATTCGTATTTAGATATACCTCTTCTGATAATAAGAAAATAAATTTAAGGTACAGCAAAGACGGCATAAAATGGCCTCATTAGTTTCACCCAGCCTAAGTTAATTAAATGATTTCACAGTATGAGATTAATATTTATGCTTTCATGAACTCTGTCTTTTCCAACTTTTAAATTCTAATATGCTTAGATGCCTCACTTTGCCTAATATTCTAATAAGATTAAGCAATTAAATTAGAAATCATTACACATGTAGTAACGAGTATGCAACTAGTAAGAAATGAAATTTCTATATAGCATGTACATGCCCTTGAGTACCTACATTAAGTCAATTTTGCACAGATGAACAAGGATTTGGTGAACATTCTAAATTATGTTAACTCTGTAAAGGTTAAACCTATGGATTTCAGTCAAGATGCACAGATTCAGAAATTCCTCCCTCTTACTACAGAAGAATGTTTGATATAATCTTAAGAAAAAAAAAGACAGATTTTTAAAATGCATCATTACATCTGAAGAAAGGGACATTGCCAAGTGTTAGAATGAGTAAACACACTCATAAACCAAAGTGGAGAGTAGGAATTACACTTAACTTCATGAGCTACTAGAAGCAAATACTTTCCCTTAGAGACTGAGGATTAGGGTCTGTGCATAACCAGAAATTAAAATTGAGTTTCCTAGATGAAGTAGTGAACTAGAAAAAATAGAATACAGTATTCTAAGACAGGAAAATCTCTGTTGGTTTGTCCAAGATTACAGAAGGAAGTGAGGTATCTGTTCAGACTATAAATTTCACTAGAGAAAAATCAGTCCCTGGGCTACAGTGGGCAAACTCCATTGGCCTTAGTGGTGACAACCACAAAACTGTAAGATTGTATACTTCATTCCCCACTGAAGATAAATTGATATATCTTGTATAACATCACTCCCCACAGGAGATAAACTATGGACAAAGTTCTTCACTAAATATACTTGCCCACCACCAAGAGAAATAATCAGGGGCCATGACAAAAAAGGAATTTGCTACTAAGAAAGCAGAAATACTCTAAAGTATACATAAGTATACTTCAAGCTATCAAAAGAAACAAATGAATACACAGGATCTATAAACCAAGAACACAGTATATACTTTATAGTTGATTTATATAAACATGCATTTCATGATATACAGCACTGAAAAGAAATCTGATTCTGTTTTTCCTTTAGTATTAGGAACATATAGAGATCTACAGAAAAAAGATTTGGAATACTTTTCTTTTGCTAGCAAATTTATTAAGATTAATGAAGATAAAATACATATGAATAAATTTTGAAGAGTCCTTTCCAATATGAAAGTGCAATACTCTAGGAAGCTATTCTTCAAAGGACAGAAACCTAGGAGAGGACAACTTTTACAAGAGTCAGAGTAAATATCTTGGTTTCCAAAAATCAGCAATAATAAAATTCACCTTCCCAAAAGCTTTGCAGATAGACTACGATACAATATCTTTCTAAAATATTCTGTTCCTTAACATTTTTTTTAAATGATGATGCTTCATAAAAAGGCTTTTCATGGTATTCATCATTTATTTCTATTTTAGAAAAAAGAAAAGTCCAGCCATAAAAATGTTACTGTTTCAGTATTTATTCCAAGTCATGAAACAAAAGAGAAAATTGTAGATATTGCAGTCTTGGAGAACTTTGAAATTCAAAGATTATTAAAAGCTATTTAGACATTATATAAGCACTAGATGGGACTTAATTCTAAGGTCAAAAAATAAAAATCTGTTTGGTTTTGATACCCCCCACTCCATTTTTCATCTAACTTTCTACTACTGTTAGTCTTTTCTTTTACCCATATTACCAGGAACACAAATCAGTTAAAAAAAAAAACAAACGGTGCAACAAACAGCATATCTACTACATACAATGTAAGAATTCATAGGAACAGGTTAGTACAATAGGAAACAGAAATCTGTGTACTTAAACAGGAATGAAGTATACCTCACTTCCTATCTATCTTAGCCTATGACTGAACTAAAGAATAAGAAAATACAACAATCCCAATTTCTGCACGGTGAAGGATTCAAAATTTCTTAGACACTTTCTGTGACATAGGTCAATGAGATTAGAACTCTTTTTCCTCTTCTAAATTATAAAGTGCTTAATTTTTTCTGATTATATTCAAGATGCTAATAAATCTTAAAACAATGTAATTATTTTAGATATGATAAAGCTTTATTACCTCCTGCAAGAACTTTTTTCCATTTAAATGAAGTACTTATACCAATAACATAATACAATATTTGATACAGATCAACTTCATTTGTAGTACATTTCACTAGGAATAAGTATTTCTATTCACTATGAATAAGGAAAAAGAACAGATATGCAATCATGTAGACATATCTGAAGGCTCTGCCACTTTTTAGTTATATGGCCTCTGTGAGTCATTTTGTGTCACTTTACCTTTCAGACACTAAGAAAATTAGAGGAACAGTTAAGAAAAGTCAACATCCAAATAAGGGTAATTTCAAAGAAAAGAATACAAAGAAAATGGAGAAGATAAAATTCTTTTAAAATTCAGGACCCTCCCCACAAAAATCCTTAAATTCATGAAAGGAAATTTTAAAAAAAGATCTTATACAAAATATCAGGAATCAGATGGCAGATTATTTCAGGGCCAACAAAGGAAGTTAGAAGAAAATGCAGAAAGTTTTTTAAAATTCTAAGGGCACATAATTTCTAGGTAAGAATTATACCCACAGAAAATACATCATTCAGATACAAGGATAGAATAAAAACATTTTCAGAAATGCAAGTTATCACCACATTTACATTTTTGGAGGAAGCTATGGTTTACCCCCATGTCAAGGGCATATACCAAGAATAGAGGTGAGTAACCAGACATCAGGAGGAGGAGGTACTATGTAAAAAAGGAGAAAAAAAATTCCAACACAACAGCTGTATGGTAAATCATGTCACACTAAAGGACTCCAGGGAAAAAGCCTCAAAAGATGAAATAATAAAATGAAATAAAAGAAAAAGAATACCTACTATACTGTAATATATTAAGAGGATATTTTCAGTTCAATTGAAGAGCTTTAGAATGAATTAGTCATATATATGTACAGAATGAAACTCAAAAGCTTAGGTAATTATTTAAGCTTTCATCTGTTGGTCTGTGTGGAAGTTATGTGGGTATAAGTATCATATTATACATTTTTGTTTTTGGTACTTCCTGTATATGTGTAAATATTTCAATGAAAAGCTTTCTAAAGTAAAAACACACATTTCTTAGCTCTATCCACTGAAAAGGCCTATAACCAATGAAAATAATTATTTAAGAAAGGAAATATAACCAGAGTACCTTATATGGCTCTAGTATATGTAATACTTGGGTAGTCATAATAATGCAGTACACAGGATATTGATTAACCAAAAATTGTAATAAACTATATTGTGAGGGAAAACTGTGAGAAGGATGGGGGTTTAAGAGAAAGTTAAATCCACATTTTTCGTAGCAGAGATTCAATATAATATTTAAAACTGAGAACTGAGACAAGCAAATTACCTAGAAATGAGTTTGAAAGCAACATATAGCTAAGGAGGTGAAAATGACCTTTGGGAATGGGAAACTGGAAGGTGGGTGTGGTGGGGCAGGCAGGGGTCAACTGTGTCTCTTCATAAGCCTTCTTAAATTTTGTATCTGTATCAATTTGAGGAAAATAAAAATCATATTTTAAAAAAGGCAGTTTTAGAAAAAAATGGTTATGGCTATATCAAAAGCAACATGACATCTTAAACACTTCGGGGAATAATTTATTTTCAGCATCAACATTGTAATACTAGAGAGAGCATATAGGTAAGGAAGTAATAAATAACACTAAACCAAGGAATACTAGGGAGCATTTCAAGATAAATCCTTAAGCTAACTGATTTTAGCATCCAACTCCCTCCACACTGAAGGTTAGTCTTCAGCAACACTATAATAAATCACGGGTGGTAATTCTGCTTTTGCAAAGTTGCCACATGAGAAGAAGTTTCCACAATCACTTCCCAATGTTTTTAGGTGTCTTTAAGTATTCATACCAGCATAATCATCAATATTTAATGAAATATTGAACACAAAAGAGCAAACAGATGATGCCAACTTGATGTAGTATGTACTTCCCAGGAAATTTACATTATATACCCTATAATGAAAAAAGCACTGGTCTAGCAACCAGGAAGCTTGCATCATATACCAGTACTACTAACAAGGTCAGGGCAAGACATTAAGATGTTCTGATTCTCAATTTTCCCATCGAAAAAATGAGGAAACTGATTAAACTGTACAGATCTGAAATATAATATTCAATGGATGTGGAAGAAACCAGATTCTCCTCTCCTTTGTGGAGCAAGGATAGACTACACATAACTACCACCTTCCTTCAGTTGGTCCAGGAGTTCACTTCGGGGCTACAGCATTTTAATGTCTATGAAAGACTCTCCAGTCCTTCCAGCTGCCTTGCTGACCTACCACATTCAGGAATGTGAATTCCTGAATTCAGGAAGGTGGAGCTTAGGTCCCTGAATTCAGGAAGGTGGAGCTTAGGTCTCTGAGTGACCAAGATGGCAACCAGAGCCTCTGCCAACCCAACATGAACATGAAGTGTGAGCAAAAAATATATTTCTGTTTTTTAAGCCACCAAGATTTAGGGATTAGATATTTCTGTGGCATAATCAAGCATATCTTGGCTGATAAAATGAGACCAGACAGAATATGTCATAAGCCATTTGATAAGGCATTAATACATTAGTATATTAATTCTTACTACATTAGTCCCATTCATTGCCTTGGCACCCCATCTCCTGTATACAAGATGAATTCCCTTGGCTCTTCATTTCTCAACATTTATATCTCACAGCTCAAACACCTCCTTAGAGAGACCTTGCCTAATAACCTAAAGATACAAAATTATCCCATTTACATTGTACATGTAATTGTACATTGCGCATCTCCCCTCAGATAGTAAACTGTGCAGGGTGGTTATTATCGAAAATATACTAGAGCGTTTAAAACTCTTCAGAGTAAACCCCAATAATTATTTGAAAAAATGTCAGTCCTTTAAAACCAAGGGAATATAATTAGGATATTGGTTTAACATTTATGCAATGCAGCCATCATTTCTAAATCCTTGACTGTGTCATCATTCAAGAACATCCTTCACAGCTCCTGTGATGGTAAGATTATTATCTCATGAAGCAGTTCATTCCACCTTGGAGCAGCTCTACTTCTTTGAAAAATCTTTTTTATACTAAATCAAATCTTTCCCATGCAATTGCCACCCACTACCTTTTGCAGTTTTGTCAAGTTATCCTAATCCCCCTTACATATACAAACTTACAAATTTTAGAAAGTAGTTGTAGATATTCCCTACATTTTCTCTTCTGCGGCACAAATATTTCCATCTCTTTTAATGATTCTCCATATACTATGGTCTACCAATCTTATCCTTTCCATGACAGTTTGGAAATTCCTAATTTATGAATTACCTCTCAAAATATCTTATTTGGAACTTAACAATTCTCCCACTTGCTTTGATAGGCATAGTCAGTGGAATAAATCTCTTTGTAAATCTATACATCACACTATTATTTATGAAAGCATGACTATTATGATAATTCTGATAGAAAGGTTGTAACAAACTGAAATCTCTAGTAATTTTCATAGCACTGCTATGAACACAAGGGTTTTGCATTATGTAGATGTGAGGATGTTTTCTAAACCAGGTGCAATATTTTATATCTATCCCAGTTAAACATACTTTTGTTACTTTTAGTATAATGTTCTATATTGATAATCTTTGAATCCCAACTCTGTACTTCAACATAAAGATCTCTCCATATTTTATGCTACTAATATTTTTGTAAATATGCCTTCCATAACATCTAAATCACTGATAGAAAAATATTTGTATAAACATATCAAACACTGAGTCCCACAGTGTAATAGCATAACATTAGAGACCTTTTTCTCTGGTTTACACTGACATTATGTGTGGTTCAATAAGCTATTTGTCACTCCCTAACAGCATCTTCTTATCTATAAATATATCATGAAAGGCATGATTAAATACCTTTCTAAAGTCAAGATGCTCTGTGAAAATATGAAAATATTTTATTAAGTTTGCTTTTTATTCACTTAGTTTTATATGTACATATACATCACTATATATGTATATATATGTGCATGTATGCATATTTTATGTATATATATATATATGTGTGTGTGTGTGTGTGTATATATGATTAGTACATCAATTTGATCCTATGAATAAACACCAATACAGGGTATAATAAATGTCAATATTATCAGCATCCCTAGAATGAGATTTAATATAAATATATTGTCATGTTTGTAAAAATATCACTTAATATGAATTTATACAAATTTTGTTCTAGGACAGTCTGGATTACCTTTGCAAAGGAATGCTAAAATGGGAAATCAGCATAAATCAAACCAAGAATATGTTTACATATGTATGCAGTGGATAAGGAAACAAAGCTATGCCAAATAATGTGTTAATCAATCTAGAAGCCTCAGAAATTTTATTCAACACTATCTATATTGCTTAAGGCTCTCATATGGAACCTGCCCGGTCACTATTCTGATTTTAATGAAATGATGCATATTTAGCAAAATCAGTATATTTTTAACATTGCATAGATCAAATTAACAGGGAACAATAACTTTAGTAATAAGGGCACTTTTAGAGTGCTCTTTTAATCCTTAAAGTTGAAGATGCAGAATCTTCCATTCTGAGATATACCCTCCTATATCTAGAAAAAACTTACTATGTGGCAGTATCATGACACTAAAACAGCTGAGCAACTGTATCTCTTATCATTGCTTTCTCAGCTACTTCACTCAACTGAACAGGACTCACAGTTGTCCTGCATTTATGCAAAGTAGTTTACAAATTATTTTTCATTATTTTTCAAGTTTAAGTTATCTTTATGAGAAATTGTTACTGAGTTCTCTACGTATTTAACATCTTTTCAGAAAACTAAGATGATTTTTTCTAGGAGACAGACACAGCTATGTGAAGCCAACTGGAACTAGGGTAAGATACCAAACTTTTCTTTGTTCAACATAATCATTTTTGCTTCATAGGAGGAAAGGGAAGATGAAAGACCGACTTCAAGAGTTAAAGCAACAAACAAAGGAAATCGAACTCTACAGAGATAGGCATGTGTTGACTACAGAAGTAGACGAACAGGGAGTGTTTCTGCAGCAGGCTGTTATTTATGAAAGAGAGCTGATAGCTGAGAGACACCTACATGAGATACAAAAACTAAAGGAGAGCATTTACAATTTGACAGACGATGTTAAAAAATTTGGGCAGCAACAGAAAAGTCTGATGGCTTCAATGAGAAGGTTTAGTCTACTCAAGAGAGAGTCTAGCATTACAAAGGAGATAAAAATCCAAGCAGAAAATATTAATAGAGGGTTGCATGGTTTAGTAAAAGAAGTTAAAAAGTCAGAGGCTGATAATGGTCCATCATCGGTGGTCACAAGGATACTTAAATCTCAGCATGCTGCCATGTTCCGCCATTTTCAGCAAACCATGTTTATCTACAATGACACAATAGCAGCTAAGCAAGAGAAGTGCAAGACATTTATTTTCCGTCAGCTAGAAGTTGCTGGAAAAGAATTGACTGAAGAAGAAGTAAATGATATGCTTCATCAAGGAAAATGGGAAGTTTTTAATGAAAACTTACTCACAGAAATCAACATCACTAAAGCACAGCTCTCAGAAATAGAGCAGAGACACAAGGAACTTGTTAATTTGGAGAACCAAATACAAGATTTAAGGGACCTTTTCATTCAGATATCTCTGTTAGTAGAGGAACAAGGAGAAAGGGTCAACAGTATTGAAATGATAGTGAACAGTACAAAAGATTATGTCAACACTACTAGAGAGAAATTCGGACTCGCTGTGAAGTATACAAAAAGAAATCCTTGCACACTATTGTGTTGTTGTTGGTGGTGTCCATTCTGTGGCTCAGAATAATGAAGCTATTTCAGAAAATTTTCCAGCTTTAAAATTAAGGATGTCTCATATTTCAGTGTCTTGTATTGTTTTTCATTTCACAGATCCGGTTACCTCACTTTTAGCACTACTGAGTCATAACTTTTCCCTTAAGTTCTTACTCACTAGAATTACAGAAACTTCTGATGCCAGTGACATAAAACAAGGTCTTTGTTTATTAAACTAAAAGCAGTATAGTGAGCTTTAAACTCACAGGTGAACTACTGAAAATGGGATGAATGTAACTTCCAATGTCTTAACAAGATGAATGTCAGTAAGTGACAATCATTTTGGCTCATTTGGGAGCATTTTGATAGTTAAATATTACATTAAAATGAGACCTCAAAGGGTGCTATGTAAGAACAAAATTAAACTAGAAACTGTATCAAGTCTATTATATTCAGGTAAGTCAGTAACTCTGTGATCAACAAATCCTGGGAAACCCCAGCTAGGCACTTGAAGAAGAATCTATTGGTAACTGAAAGTTGAATCTAGCTTAAGGCCTAAAAGTTAAAGCACTGTTTTCCTGAACTTGGATCCATTCAAGACACTCTATTACATATCAGGAGGGTTGACAAGTAAACCAAAAAATAAAGGTAACTGTATTCTCAAATCACTTTATTGTGAACCCAGGCACTCAACTATGGCCTAGAGATACAGTTTCAACTCATGCAGAGATAGAGTTATGGAACTCACATTCTAGCGAAGAAAGCAGGTAACAAACAAATACAGATATTTTATAATGTTAAATAATTAAAAATAAGGGTGAGGGAAGAGAGACTCTCAGGGTGACTTCTTCTGGTTAGGTTGTCAATGAAGGCCTCTCTAAAGGTAGTATTAAGTAAAGACCTAAATGATGAGGATAAGGGAGGGTGTACTGTAGGCAGAGGAAACAGAAAGTATAAAGATGCTAAAGGGAGTATAACTTAATCCATTCAAAGAAAAATAAGCAATGTAGCTATATCAGAGTGAGAAAAGATTAGTGAGGCAGAGATGAGGTTAAGCAAGGTTAGAAGGGATAGATTTAAGGCTCTGTAAGCCATTAAGTCTGAAGTTCACAGGAAGTATAATCAATACAAAGCCCTGAGACTGTTTTTGTCCTGGGAATAATGTGATTTGATCTATATTTGAAGAAAATCATCTGTGTGATTGGAGAGGGAGTACTGTATGGAGAATGGGTTAGAATGAATATGGGGCAGGTGAGTAGAGGACAAGTATATAGGAACAGAAAATAACCAGAAGGCTAATGCAGTAGCCACAGTAGGAGATGAAAGGCTTGACTAGGATGGCAGTGGTAGGAGCGGTAGTACTAATACCCAGGATGAATAAAGTATGTGCTATATCCCAGCATTGTTCTAATAATCTTACCATTTTATCAACAGAACACTGAGATACATCAAGATTAAGTAACCTGTCCCATGTCACAGAATCTGTACAGAGAATCAGGATTTGAACCCAGCTGTCTAATTGCAAAACCAGCTTTAACTACTACATACTACATAGATAGAAAAAAATTATACTAACTTGTGATAGATTTAAGATGGAGAATCTACAGGACACTGAATGATGATGACTATACCATTTACTGAGATGGGGAATGACAGAGATGAAGGTTTCAGAATTGGGGGCGAGAAGGAAATCAAGAATTCTATTTTGACCAAGGGAAGCTGAGATAACTATAAGATGACATAAGATGATTTAAAGATGTTAAAAGAGAAGCTGAGATGACTATAAAATGTCCAAGTGGAAGTTCCTAAGATATTAACAATATCAGTAGGCACTCTTGAGAGATGTCAGGGCTAGAAGTATATATCTGGGTCATCTGAGTAAATAAATGATATTTAAAGTCAGATGACTTTTGGATAAGTCACCTGAAAAGTATGTGGATGTAAAAAACTGGAAGGAAGCACAGGAAAAGCTGGGATATTCCAAAATTTAGAGTTAAAGCAGATGAGTAATAATAAAAGAGACTGAGAAGAAAACATTAATGAAGTAGGAGTAAAACCAAGGAAGTGTGCTGTAATGTACAAGAGTGTTTAAGAACAAAGTTGAGGAAATAGTCAATTTTAGGTAAAATAGGAATGGCAAAGTGACAATGGATTTGGTAACATGGAAATAATTTGTTGACTCCAAGAGTGATTTCATGGCATTGAAGGAATGCAAGGACAAGTGGAATATGTTGAGGAAAGAAGGTGGTATGAAGCACAACAACCACACAGACTATTCTTTCCCGAAGTTTCAATAGAGGACTATAAGAAGATATCAACAGCCTGAGAGGGATATGGAGTCAAAGGACACCACACTTGAAGAAATTAGAGTACATTGTGCTGACAAGAATGATCCAGAGAGAGAAACACTTGATATAAGAAAGGGAAGGGATAACATGAAAAAGCTGAAAGGGGTGGCATATGCAGGACAAATGGAGAAGCTGGCCCTGAACAGAAGCAGGAACACTCTTCCTTTATTACAGGCAGAAGGCAAGGTTTAGGGATAAAAGCAGACAGTTGAGCAACTTTGACGGTGGGAAAATGACAGAATTCTTATATGACAGTTTCTAATTCCTTAAAGAACTATGAGGCAAAATATTAGTTGAAATCACAGTGGGACTAAAGGAGAACAGAAATATATATATATTCCTCCAAGCACTATAAAATAATTTTTAATTTATAAAATAACAAAAAATTAAAAAGCTTTCTTCTGTTAATTATAAAGCAACTACTGAAGAAAAAGATGTTTATGTCAGTTTCAAATGTTTACAGAGTATTATAAAAAAGATAAATTTAAAACCGATGACTAACTCCCCAGCTCATCAGGTGGTCAGATATACTACTCTGTCCTTTCTAAAACTGTGTTACATCCTTTTATCTAGTGCCCCACTGATACTTTTTATAATTGTTCAGAAATCGTTTTTCATGAAAACTAAGTACTACTTAATATTCATTAGCATAATTATATCCAGATGAATTTGTAAAATAGTAACTTCCTATTAACGTTTTTATCCAGTGTTTTAATGCAAATCTTAAGCACAGAAAGATTCAGAACAAAGCTATGCATCACATACAATTTTCATTGTTATATTTTAAAACCAATTATCACCCTAATCTAAGCAGCAAAAACAATATTTAACAAACTAGTTGCTGAACATGTTGTATAGTTTATTCACACTTAATAGACACTAAAAACAGTAATTTTTTCCTTAAAATTACTACCTTAAAGGAAAAAAATTCTTAAGCATTGGGGGTGCAATATTAGGAATCTTCTGGTTCTGGAAGCATGCAATAATAAAAATAAAAAGCCACTATGAGCTCTTGGTTCATATTCTTACCCACTGAACTATATAATTTTCTGTAATAAAAAGCTTCAGGTAGCCTTAATTCATATGATGAGATGTTTTAAAACTGGCTCTCCTAATTTATCTCCACCTAGACATAGCACATCAACAGTAACTTTTCATACCCACCATCACATTTAGAGAATACTGTTAAAATACTGCACTTAATTCTTTGAACATATATTTGGAATCCACATGACAAAAAAGTATTCTAAAAATCCTTATTTTTAAGTGGAGACACAGGAGCTCAGGAAGATCAAGTAACTCATCCAAAACCTGACCTGAAAGCCCATGCTATGCCCCACACCAGTAGTTCTCAATTTTGGCTGTGCATCAGAATGATCTGGGAGAACCTAGCATCCCCTGCCCCACCCTCAAAGATTGAGGAGGTCTCCGTTGATGCTGATGCAAGGTGGTAAGACACAGCAGACACAACATCCTGCTGCCTAACAACCACTGCCAACAGGTTTCTGTTACTTTGTTTTTAAATAGAGTGTCTGGGGGCAGGGGAGGGGAAGGATGGGAACCTCTGCAGGCTCCTTGTTCACAAATTACCCAGGAAGTCAACCAGCCCAGATGCTTTACTCTAAACCACTGTGGCTTTGAGCAAAGCTAGATGCCATAGACACAAAAGGAAACCCTAAGTAAGGAAATTTGGAGGTGAATCAACAAATAATGAAATAGGGCTGATGAACATGGCAGAGTGGTTAAGAGTCCATTGAAAGAAGAGATATCTTAAACCAACAGATCCTAAAATTACAGTGAATAGGCATTTCAGATGGTAAAAATAGTAAATTATGAGACTCACCACTATATCTAAGAATTAAGTGTTGAGTGACATAGATAGAATATACTTCCATTGTTACGGGTTTCCAGCATTCTAAAAAGGACCCAGGTTCTGTTTATCATTTAAAAGTGTAACTCAATAAAAGTACATTTAACTCAAATTCTAATAACAGCATTAGAAAAATCCATAACCTAATGTCTCCTGGGTATTTACAATAAATAATATGACTCAAAGAAACTTTTAAGCTAGCATTTTCCTGTAATACTGTCTAGAAGGCAGGTGAGTCAAGTTGGTATATAAAGGTTGAAAACAAAAAATCCCATGTTCAAAAAGTAGTAAAGAAGCCTGGTTGTTGTTTCTCCTAATATGGAAACCCAGTGACAGTTTTTAACCTTTTTGGCCATGAAATTCCTTAGGAATTTGATGACAGCTAGGACCTGTTCCTAAGAAAAATGCACTTGTACTCCGAATTGTGTATGTGATTTCTGAGGGTCCTGGGAGGCCATGCATGGTATAAAGACTTCTAGGTGAAAGAAACCTTTTTTATTGCAATGTTCATAAAACCGAGTAAAATCCTAACAGAGATAACATGTTTCTTCCCTGAGTGCAACTCTCTCTATATTTTTAAGTTTGTTGTGAAGCAACCAATTTCGAAGGTTTGGCCAAAAGTTAAGTTGGGTCATACAAGTCCTACAGAAAAGCAGACAGTATGTAATGAGAAAGTGGAACCATTCCAAGGTTCAAGTGTAATATCACAAGTAGAATTGCTATTATTCTTGGAGGAAATTTTAGCCTATTGATCTCCAGAGTTATTCCAGTTTTAAGTATTAGGAGATTCAACCATAAAAAAAGAAGAGTAACTTACTCTCTCTCTGAGGCCAACTTTCAAAACTACCCTAGAGAGTTAAAATGTACAAATGTTATGGAAAATACTGGAAAACCTGGACTGGATCACTGAAGGAAGAACCAAGTGGCACTCGGAGGTCTTGGATTTTTTAGGTTTATTTTACACCGGTGGGCCCGGAGGAGACTAATCTCCCAAGGTCTGAGCCCTGAGCACAAGGGAACAATTTATATTATTTTGACATGTGGCATTTCAGCATGCGCAGGGCAGAAGAGGAGCCTGGAGGAGGGGAGGAGGGAGCTGGGAGTGTTTTGCCAACTGGAGGAAAAAAGTGGTTTGCTGACCTTGACGGCTGTGTTGAATATTTTCCTTATCACAAAGAGCATGTGCCTTCTTATAACACTGGTGTAATCCTGGGCTGCTGATAGTTTCCATAGGTTAACATGCTTAAAATACCTCCCAGCTCAGTTCTTTCCATAAGTAATCAACAAATAGTGCCTTGCATTATTAATGGAAAATTTCTATGGTAGTAGATGTTGAGCTGAGTATGTGGAATTACAGTGATTTCAGTGCTATTTATACAACTGCAAAAGTGGCTTACTTTTTTTCTTGGAAAGGACCCCTTTAGCTGTCAAGACTATCTAATTTTAGGTTTTTTTTCCTTACGTTTTTATTTTTAAATTAATTTATAAACGGTTAAAGCAAAAGCATGTGTGTGAGGGAACATGGTGGTAGATAACATAATTCATGCCTTAGAGTATGGGTTCAATCTCTATATTAGGTATGAGAGAAAAAGAAAGGCTTTCTAGGTAAATAAACAGGTTAACATGATTACAGAGCAGAATGTTTGCATGACATCTGTTCTTACTCTCTTTAGAAGGAATACAAATCACTTTTTATCTTTTTATTGAAATGGACTCAGGATAGCCTACAGAATGGTTCACATTTTTGTAATTAGTGCAAAATTACATTATTTTACAGCTACTTTTATTACAGAAGATGCATTTTGCCACAAAGTCCAAAGAAGTAACTCACCAGGGTCATAAACAAACTCACACTAGCTCTTGAGTTGCAGACTCTGTCTTCTCCCTAAACCCATGGTTTTTCAACTTTTACCACTTATTTCAGAGATTTTAATTAAAATAATATGCTGATTAAGTAGTAAATGCTATAGAAATACCAATGTCTGAGCTAATGAAAAAGCCTAGTGATGTTCTATGATTATGACCTTTCAAGAGAAGTCTCAAGACCATGACAAAGTGAAATTCAGCTGAGGCTTCCTTTGTGAAGGCACATGCAGTCAGGCTGGTTGTGCAGGAGCAAGTCAGGCAGAACTAGAGACTTTTCAGGACCTGCTGTTGTGGTCATCTACTCTGCTTCCCACAGTATGAATGAATCTTGACTCTATCAATTTGTAGTTTTGTGATTATAGACAAGATTCTAGGTCTAAGGTTTCTGACCTTCTGTTAAATGACTGAATCTTCTCAGAGATCTGTTGCTCTGTGTGCTTATTATTAAACAGTGGGAAGAGAAAGTTATCTAGGTGTAGATTTGAGTTCTCTGAGGCTTTATTGGTATGGCTTCTAAACCAACTAGTTAGGCTCAGATAAGGGTGAACAGAAGAAATGAGATGCAGTAATTGGATTTTGCAGATGACAGGTCCAGATGTCCACAGGCAGGAAAGAAGCAGCTGGGTGCAACAGGGAGCACTACAGCCTGCCTCCTAATTCAGGCACCCTCCCCATCCATTGCCATAACCCACCAGCCCCTAGCACTGAGCTTAGCAGGGTTTTGCTGGAGCTCCTTCCTACTTTTCCAGTAGATTTTTCAATGCCATACCTATTATGTGCTAGTTACATCAGCTAAAAACAGAATTTCCTGTGAAGACAACCTGAAGGACTTTAGGCAGAGGAATAATAAAATGATCAATTTGCACTTTTAAAGGAGTTCTCATATTCTTTACATATTTTTGCATTATTTCACTTGTTAAAGCATGTACTATTTCGAATTTGAGAAAACACTGAAGAAAGAAATGGGCCCCTGCTAACAATGTAGGAAACCTAGAGGATAGGCAGGACTGCTAGCAAAGAGACTGTTGCTCTCAGTAACACAGGGGAGAAAAGAAGAGGGGAAGAAAGAAGGTAAACAGACTCAAATGATATTAAGATAGTAATATCATTAGGAGGAAGTAATTGCAGGTCAGAGAGAAAAACAGTAAACAGAACTTCCCAATGTGGGCTTGGGTAGATATTTAAGAAGGATTTATAAACACACAAAAAAGACTGAGATACAGAATTTTATATATTAAATGAACACTGCATGCATTACATGTTTCACAAAAATACGCACAGGAAATACATCGAAATGTTAAAAGTGGTTGATTCTGCATGGTAAGTCAATCTTTTTTTTAACTCATTCTTCCCTACATCTTTTAGATTTATTAAGAATGTGTACTTTTTTGCATATTTAATATATTTTAAAGCACATTAAAGTTCCCCTCAGATTTAATAAAAGTGAGGATTGATTACATAAATCAAGTGACATCTCTAATTGGTTAAATGCATAAAAATAAAACAGTAACCTTACCAGAAAATGATGCAATAATTACAAATTACAGTTTGCAATTAGAGTTTCCAAACTGCATCCTTTTAAAATGTTAATTTACTACCAAGGGACAACTGCTTACAATTTCCATTTAACTACTTAGTAAGTAATTTTTTTTTTCTTATCCTTACGGGTAGATCACAAGAATGAAGGAAAAAGGACAAGAAGGCAAGGGCACATAGTCAGCTTTTAAACTGTTGTACTTTCATTTTACTCATAGTTATAGTAGCTCATAGTTATAGCACCATCTAGGGTTCACTATGCAGAAAGACTATGAGGGCAGGTCGTACAAATTCTGCCACTTAGTTTTTAAAAAATGTTTAAGCAGTTGAAAAAATGATGTAAGTCTATGACTAAATAGATAACATAGATCACATGTTCAATTTGGAAACAGAAATCAATGTGGCATTAGAAGAATAAACCATTTAAATGACTTTCAAACAAGAATATTCTTCAAGAAACAAAGAGCAAATCGTAAAGAGAAAAAATGAACACTGTTGTAGGACCTTGTTAGTAGACCATTTCAAAATGCAATGATAAATTTACTTTGAATAAAAGTAAATTATCAAATAAAACAAAATGTTTATATGTGAATACTCAGGAGATCCAATTATAAGGCTTTTTTACAATATACACTCAACCTGTAGTCTCTGTGGATTACATTGTAACAAGGCCCTCCATATGAACAACTCCCAGTAAATTACATACATTTTATTATACTGCAGTGTGACTATTTTAGCTTATTCAGTACTTCATAACTTAGGCAAATTTCTTTGTTGGCTAATGCTGTTGTTTCTACATTTATAATGGCACCAACTTACTTACACCAATATAGGCTTTCCTGATATCCTAGGATGTCTTAACACTTCTGACATTGTCTCTTTCGTCTCTTCCATTCTCTCTTCATCACTGGAATCCACAACAAATATTACCCCATAAGACTCAGCATAGTAATTCTTCCAGATTCCCCGAATTCTTTTTCCACCTCCCAAGTCAAAGATGGTGACTTCAAACTTCCCTTGTCTAAGGTAAATTTTGGAAAATCCAACAGTAGGGGCTACATCTTCAGGACACTCTGTTTAAAATGATATAAAGAAATAATCTTTAGACTTCAAATTGATAACAATAAGTTATGTTAAATATGTTGAATTAACATTAATAAATGACATAGTGTTATTCATCATACTTCAGTAATAAATGGAATGTTTATTATTTGTTTATACAGTAAGCATTACATCTAAAGCATACTGGTCAGGTAGAAGAGTAGATACTGTATAATATCCAAATAGAATTTACACTCCATGCAAATAGGAATTTCTGTCTATTTGTTGTTTGTTTTTATTGATAAAACTCCAGCTCCTAGAAAAATGCCTACTATGTAACAGGCACTTGATAAGTAAGCATCTGTAGAATTAAGAAATGAAAGAACTCTTGCCTTCAAGGCTATTGACTCTCTGAATCACAAACAATAAAAATTTCATCCTCTCAACACCACAGTCATCTCCAGGGATCATTACTACTTTTGTGGAATCTTAAAGAAAAACTGAACATTTAGAGAATAGTTTAGGAGAACTAACAAATGGGAGAGAATATGAAGAGAATGCCTACTCTTTTTAACTAGCTGAATTAAAGCTAATTTCAATAAAGAGACTTTTGAGGGCAGCTTGTGAACATAAAGAGATTCTATTAGTTCTACAGGAGTATGTTTTGGATGTCTTATAAACTGTTAACTGAACTTTATTTTGGACTTCTGTGTATGACAAAAAGAAGGTTCAAGGTATGTATGATTACAATCAATTAGGAGCGTTAATGACAATAAGAGATTTAAAAGGTCGCTAGGTTCAAGAAGACTTGAATGTGGAGTTGGAACTAGGTAAGATCTAAACAAGTAAAAAAGCAATCTAAGTAAAGAAATGACAAAGGCAAGAAGTACACACATGCTGAACACTGTGGCTGGAGCAAACCCCTGATTGTGAATGGGGACTGAAGAGAGTTCTGAAGATAGAGAACTGGAACCGTGGGAGGTATTTCAGCAGATCAATAATATAATTAAATTGACTAAAGTAGTGCTTTATTAATATTCATCTTTGCAAAAGTCTCTATAATTGACTGGAAGTGAGAGTGACAGGCACTTTTCAGAGAGTATGAAAATAAAGAGAGGGATGGAAAAAGAGAACTCATGAAAGATTACCAGAACCTGGTGACTCGATGATTATAAAGAAGGGTTCAAACTTCATGTTTGTCTCTTCCATTCTCTCCTCCTCACTCGAATCCACAACAAACATCACTCCACTGGACTTTATTTACAGCCACACAGTCAATTTACATAAGACTTTTCAAATTTTAAAAATTAAAATTCAGTAAAATTTAAAATTGAGTTCCTCAGTTGTACTAACTACATTTCAAATGCTCAAAAGCCACACTTGGCTAGTGGCCTACCCTGTTGGACAAAATCAATATAGAACATTTCCATCATTGCAGAAAGTTATTTTGAACAACACTGCTTTATAGAGAGGATTTTATCATTCTCACACTTAGCAAAACATTTGCTATTACAAAGATAAAAAATTTGAAAGGCATCTGCTGTTAGGCTCAGGGGTGACTGAGAAACAGACTTGCAGTGTACTCCTCACTTTAAGCAAGCATCTTAGTACAGTTTACACAGTTCCCTGGAAGGTGAACAGAGACAATACAGTCACTTTTTTTTTATAGGACCTTCCTTATCTGGAAGGAGAAAAACAAAAGTTATTAGCAATATAAGCATCCTGATTCCAAAAACAAGATTACACTAGACATTTAAATAAAAATGTGCAACTAGGTGGTTACCACAGGGGAGGGATTGGAGTGGGTAGGTGAAGAGTGTAAGAGGGTAAAGGGGGCACAAAAATTCTCAATCATAATACAAGCAGTCACAGGGATGGTAGTACAGTATGGAGAATATAGTCAATGATTCTGTAACTTCCTCCTATGTTGACAGATAGTAACTGTAAGATTTAATAACATGGGCAACTGCTGAACCACTGTGTTGTATACTTAATGTCAATGTAAGATTGTCTATCAACTATATTTCAATTAAAAAAAAGTGGATCTAGTCCAGGACAAAATTGGTTTCCACTATTAAAACAGGCAACTGTCTTTGAGTATGATTTGAGAAGTACCCTCAGGAAACTATTAGTGAAAATAAATCAACTACACTGGAGCAGGGATAAGGGAACTGATATGTACAGAACTACTACTCAGTACAAGGACTTTGTTAGGCATTAGGATGTAAAGATGAATAAGATAGGGTTGCCATTCTCAAAGAATATAGAGTGCAATACAAAGAAGCAGAATACTAATGGGAATAACACAAGAACCTATACGTTCTGTGAAAGTCTGGAAAGAACTGTGTAAGAGTGTTATGGACTGCATGTTTGTGTCCCTCCAAATTCCTATATTGAAATTCTAACAGCAAAGTGATGGTATTTGGAAGTGGGATCTTTGGGGGGTAATTAGGTTTAGGTGAGGTTAAGAGGGTGGAACCCCTATGATAGGATTAGTGCTCTTAATGGGAAAAGGCCTGAGAGCTTGTTTCCATTCTCTCTTTCTGCCACCTGAGAAAACAGAAAGATGGCTGTCTGTAAACCTGGAAGAGGGCCTTCACCAAGAACCTGACCTTGCTTGTGCACCTTGATCTCATACTTCCAGCCCCTAGAATTGTGAGAAATAACTCTGTTGTTTGAACTACCCAGTCTATGGTAGTTTTAGTAGCCCAAATTAAAGAAGGCAGAGGGCATTCAAGAGGAAAAGGGTAAAGAGAAGGGAGGGATGAGAAGGCTTCGGAGATTAATGAAATGGGAGTGAAGTCTTCAAAACTACAAAATTAAAACAAAGAAAAAAGAACATTCTAGACTAGGAAGCAATGGAAACATGAATAAAATGATGGCAATACTCCAGGAAACCAATTCAGATTAAGTAATTTTTTCAAGGTTACATGGTAGGCAGAGCCAGGACTCAAATTCAAGTCTTTGTTCTGTTTCTTCTGATACATGAACACCCTCCCCTACTTCTCTATTCTGTCCCTTGGTTCCTACTCATGATACTATGTTTCAAGACTCAAAATTAAAATTTGAGGTTACACTCTTCCCTATAAATTCTTCTATTATCATTCCTTCCCACTTCCAGTATCACCTAAATCATCTATCATAATATTCTGTCTTCCTGCAGGTAGACACAGTGGCCTATACATACCCAGTATGTGGGACCTGTCTGTGTATCCTTAGAACTCAGTAAATTGTTCAATCCTACACTACCAGACTACTATGAGAGCTGAAGCTGCTGTCTTTACATCCTCCCTTCCTTTTGTCCTTCCAATATTTATTGTAAATTGTTCAATCCTACACTACCAGACTACTATGAGAGCTGAAGCTGCTGTCTTTACATCCTCCCTTCCTTTTGTCCTTCCAATATTTATTCATCCATCCATGTAATCATTTATTGAGACATCATACAAAAACCATGGGTACAAAGACATATGGTCCCCAAACCCAAGGATTTCAGTAAAGTATATGTGTTAAGAAAGTCTCTACAAAGTCTAAGATAAAATGAAAATACACAGTCTTATCTATTGAGCATCTAAGAACTGTGCAAGCTCCTAGATGTACAATTAATAAGATCCATTTCTGATCTTACAGAACTCTTACACAGAGGTAAAAAAGGGAAAGCATTTATATAAACAAATAACTAGAATAAAACAAAGATGTGTTAATATCCAACAATGCTAGGGACCAATTCACACAAAGAAGAATTTTCCCACCCAAAATAACAATAGTCTCTTAGGAACTATTAGAAAACATCACTGGACAGTCAGAGAATCCTGTTATTTTAGCTGAGCATATAGCTGTTTAGGATAAAGAAGATAATCATTGGTCTCTACAGCTAGGGGTGGCCAAAAAAGCAGGTGTTAGGCAGTATGCTAGTGGTGTACTGTTCACTGTTGAACAGGCTTTGTGGAGGAGGACTCTGATACATATCATTTGCCAATTTCCATGATGTAAATACTCCCATCATGGCTAACTTCAAACTACCAATGTGAGGTACCTGAACACAGAGTTGGGAAGAGATGTGCCTAATTAGTTCTTGCTAGCTAATAAGAGCCAGTAAGAGCAAGTAGAAGCCAGCCCAGAACACCTTTCGTTTTAGTCAATGATATGTGAACTGAAAAGTGATGTGGTGGCTTCTGGTTCCCGTACTCAAAGGAAAGGATACCCTCCACTTTCCCTCTTCCTTCCAGCCGAAATGCACACATAGTTGTGAGTAACCTTGAACCAGGTAAGCAAAGGAGAACACTAGCAATGAAAAAGCAGGTAAGAGAAGGAAGTTAATTCCCTAACACCATGGAACTCTTACACCAGCCCTGAACAACTTTTGCCTGTGCTGTTATGAGAGAGAAATAAACTTCTGCTTTGGTACACCACTGTTATTTCAGGTCTCTGTTAAAACAACTGAACCTATATCTAACTAAGGCAATCACTTGATGGCCATGAAGAAGAAAAATTCAAAGAATTGAAGTTCAAGGTAGGGAAAATACTCTTAGATTTGGAAGCTATACTAACATTATAGATGAAAGACATTGAAGGTTGCATTTAGACAATGGCAACACAGTCTTTAAACTCTGTCTTTAAAGATAAGTAGATATTCTCTCTAGTAAGACAAGTGAGAACAGCATAAACAAAAATACAGTCAGAGAAGAAGCAGTATCAAAAGAAACAATCAAAAGAGAGAGAAGACACATTAATAAGTTGAAGAGTAGAAGCCCTGTGGGAAATGTTCTAAGAAGACTGCTTACTATACCTAAAGCATGGCCTGAACTGAAATACCAAAACGAGTAAAACTGCCCATTGGGTATTTACAGTGTGGAGAGGTGGAGAAATACATAAACAAAAGAGCAATTAAGAAGTAATATAAGTAGATCTAAGTAAGAGCAGGCCAAAATAGAGTAAGTAAAAGTAACCCTTGAATAACACAGGTTTGGACTGGATGGATTTTTTTTTAATAAATATATCAGAATATTTTTAGAGATTTCCAACAATTCAAAAAAACATGGTCTTTTCTCTAGTCTTTTACTTACTGTAACAATAGTGTATATAATACATATAACATATAAAATATATGTTTATGTTATCAGTAAGACTTCCAGTCAAAAGTAGGCTAATAGTTACATTTTGGGGGAGTCAATAATTACACTCAGATTTGATATGCAGGGGGCCATACCCCTAACTCCCATGTTATTCAGGGTCCACTGTGGTCAATTCCACTGATGGTGGTGGTAATAGGTAAGAGCAGAAGTAGATCAGAAAAAGACTTCATGAAGGAGACTATGTGATAAATATACGACTTTATGTATTAGTAGATACTCTGTCTTTAAAGATAAGTAGATATTCTCTCTAGTAAGACAAGTGAGAATAGCATAAACAAAAAATACAAAGGCATGAAAAGGCTCAATTTGGAAAACTTAAAGTAGTTCTATATACCCGGAATCTTGAAAAAAGGAAAACGGTAAGAAATTAGTCACTTTAAGTATAAAAGTAAATTACACAGAGTTGGGAAGAGATGTGCCTAATTAGTTCTTGCTAGCTAATAAGAGCCAGTAAGAGCAAGTAGAAGCCAGCCCAGAACACCTTTCGTTTTAGTCAATGATATGTGAACTGAAAAGTGATGTGGTGGCTTCTGGTTCCCGTACTCAAAGGAAAGGATACCCTCCACTTTCCCTCTTCCTTCCAGCCGAAATGCACACATAGTTGTGAGTAACCTTGAACCAGGTAAGCAAAGGAGAACACTAGCAATGAAAAAGCAGGTAAGAGAAGGAAGTTAATTCCCTAACACCATGGAACTCTTACACCAGCCCTGAACAACTTTTGCCTGTGCTGTTATGAGAGAGAAATAAACTTCTGCTTTGGTACACCACTGTTATTTCAGGTCTCTGTTAAAACAACTGAACCTATATCTAACTAAGGCAATCACTTGATGGCCATGAAGAAGAAAAATTCAAAGAATTGAAGTTCAAGGTAGGGAAAATACTCTTAGATTTGGAAGCTATACTAACATTATAGATGAAAGACATTGAAGGTTGCATTTAGACAATGGCAACACAGTCTTTAAACTCTGTCTTTAAAGATAAGTAGATATTCTCTCTAGTAAGACAAGTGAGAACAGCATAAACAAAAATACAGTCAGAGAAGAAGCAGTATCAAAAGAAACAATCAAAAGAGAGAGAAGACACATTAATAAGTTGAAGAGTAGAAGCCCTGTGGGAAATGTTCTAAGAAGACTGCTTACTATACCTAAAGCATGGCCTGAACTGAAATACCAAAACGAGTAAAACTGCCCATTGGGTATTTACAGTGTGGAGAGGTGGAGAAATACATAAACAAAAGAGCAATTAAGAAGTAATATAAGTAGATCTAAGTAAGAGCAGGCCAAAATAGAGTAAGTAAAAGTAACCCTTGAATAACACAGGTTTGGACTGGATGGATTTTTTTTTAATAAATATATCAGAATATTTTTAGAGATTTCCAACAATTCAAAAAAACATGGTCTTTTCTCTAGTCTTTTACTTACTGTAACAATAGTGTATATAATACATATAACATATAAAATATATGTTTATGTTATCAGTAAGACTTCCAGTCAAAAGTAGGCTAATAGTTACATTTTGGGGGAGTCAATAATTACACTCAGATTTGATATGCAGGGGGCCATACCCCTAACTCCCATGTTATTCAGGGTCCACTGTGGTCAATTCCACTGATGGTGGTGGTAATAGGTAAGAGCAGAAGTAGATCAGAAAAAGACTTCATGAAGGAGACTATGTGATAAATATACGACTTTATGTATTAGTAGATACTCTGTCTTTAAAGATAAGTAGATATTCTCTCTAGTAAGACAAGTGAGAATAGCATAAACAAAAAATACAAAGGCATGAAAAGGCTCAATTTGGAAAACTTAAAGTAGTTCTATATACCCGGAATCTTGAAAAAAGGAAAACGGTAAGAAATTAGTCACTTTAAGTATAAAAGTAAATAAAATCATATAAAAAAATTAAAGTGTGAATAAAACAATAAAATTAAAATTAAAAAGAATAAATAAATATGAGATGAAAAACAAAAACAGAGCCAGAGGGGGGCTCAAAGTTAAAGGCAGCTTTAACTTTTTGTTCATGATGTGACACCTGAAACATTTTCTAGACTCAAAAAGAAACTGATGGATAGAGGGAGATGGCATTCAGAAGAGAAAAGGTCTGATGGAATGAAGATGTTCCGAATACACTCAACCAATCAAATGGTCTGGTCTGATTAGCAGATTCTTTTGTTTTTGCTCCCTTGAATGTGAAACTTTGAAGTAACAGAAGAAGGGAAGATGTTTAGATAAGTGGTCATGGCCTGCAGGCCAAATATGGCTCACCACCTGTTTTTAGATGGCCCTCAAGCTAAGAATGTTTTACATTTTTAAATGACAGCAAAAAAATAGAAAGAATAATATTTCATAATACATCAAATTTTGGTGTCCATAGTCTCACTGAAATATGGCCAGGCTCATTAGTGTACATATTGTCTATGGCTTCCTTCACACTAATGTGCCACATTTGTATGGTTGGGAAAATGACCCTAGGCCCTCAAAGCCTAAAATATTTGGCTCTTTGCAGAAGTTTGCCAAGCCCTGGTTTAGGTGAGGACACTGAGTGCTCTGTCAGAATTAACCTAGGAGATAACCTGAGGGATCCCAAAGACAGTAATACGTAATATACATCTAATGCTACATAGTAGAGTTTGGGGTAACAAAACCATTTTCTCAAATAGCAAGCTTTGCAAGGTGTTAATTTTCTTTCATAAACTTCCATAAATAAAAGCCCTGAGTATTTGGTGTGCATGATATCTTGCTGCAACATCTGTTTTCAGCAACAAATATATGTTAGGTTTTCTCCCAATTCTTACCCTTTAAGATGCCTGGCTGGTACTACATCTTCCGGGGATACAACAAACTCATTAACACAGTCACTTCTATATTGTAGTAAAAGGCATTAAATTAAGACTATGTAAATGCACCAAGTGACATGTAATATACATGACATAAAGCCCTTTCATGACACAGATGCCCTATCTTTAACATAACTATAAAACTTACATAACATACTGAAAAAAAAAATTAGGAGATGCAAAGAGAACTGTGATAGCTAACTGTACTTCTACCTCCCTTTCATTAAGCCTTGTGACTAAATTCCAGCCAACACAATATAAGGAGAAGAACTGTATTCTTAAAGGCAGGGCATGTCCCATTTTTTTATATTATCCTTCTTATTGGTTAGAAGACAGATGTGATCCCTCTTAGTTGATCAAGGACTTCAAGAAGCCTCACATCTCAGCATTTATTCAAATCTGTAAAAAAAAATTAGGAGATGCAAAGAGAACTGTGATAGCTAACTGTACTTCTACCTCCCTTTCATTAAGCCTTGTGACTAAATTCCAGCCAACACAATATAAGGAGAAGAACTGTATTCTTAAAGGCAGGGCATGTCCCATTTTTTTATATTATCCTTCTTATTGGTTAGAAGACAGATGTGATCCCTCTTAGTTGATCAAGGACTTCAAGAAGCCTCACATCTCAGCATTTATTCAAATCTGAAACCAGATAATAGGCTGCTACTACTAAGCCAGAATCCATTTACCATTTAGCCACAAGTATACTAACAGAAAGTAACTGAATAGACAGTACCTGTACACAATGAATAAGTAATAAAAGTAATTTTAATAAATAATTCAGAATAATCAAATAATAGATATTTCCAGCTTACCTCCTTGGATTCCCTTTGCCGTTGCCGTTTTACCAGCATTATCAAGTCCCACCATCACAAGAGTCACCTTTCTTAAAATAATAAAAATTTAAAAACCACATTCTGAGTTAATTCAGTATTAGAGAAAAATAAAAGCAAATGTATTCATTCAAGCATCATTTAAAGAGCATCTATTATGTACAGACAATCTGCTTGGCAGGAGGGTACAATAATGAATAAAATTTCAAAAAGCAAAATTTATGAAAAATACCTTTAAAAATGTCATCTTTTTGTTCTCTTAGCAAAAAGAGGAAAAATATACAATAGATAACCCAAAGGCTAGAGAAGAAATAAAGAAAAGAAGGAAGTGAGAAAGGGAAGAGGGAGATGGATTCTAAGATGAGTTATCATGACAAAAGATTCCAGTTCTAGTTAACTGAATTCTAAAGATTATAACAAATCTGCTTTTTCTTACGAAATTACATAAAAATTATTGTTAGGTTCTAGACACTACAGGTGTCCTCAACTCTATTTTTACATATGCAGCCAAATACAAGTCTTAAATATAGTATTACAGTAACATGGTTATTAACTTAAGGGCTAACCTATTTTGAAAGCAGGTTCCTACAATTACAAATGTTTCTGATGACATAGTTAAGTTTTACAGAGTCAAAAAAAGTCCTGTTCAGTTTTATAACTGAAGAAACATAAATCCAGAGTCATAAGACATAAGACATTAAGGCACTTATAGTCAGAACCAGTAACTAATTCACCTAGCTCCTAAGGACTTCTTAAACCTGGGACAGGTATAAATGAACAAATCTACTGTACTTGTCCTGTTATGTTGGTGATTCAGTCTATACCACTAATGCTCATTTCTGCTCTAGGCTTAACTACTGGATAATGTAAGAGGTGAGCCCATCTATGAACTCCATGGATTTGGGAATGCAGAGAGAAAGCCATACTGTATATAATAGGGCTGCCATTTTAAAACCACACGGTGACACTCTTATGGGGTAGAATCAGGGTTTTTACCAAGTACAGTCATTTTTCATTTACAATCATCCCAAAAAGGATTAAAAAATAGAAACTAGATGGCAAGAAAAGATATTCTTTCATCTCTCTAGGTCTGACTCTCCTGGATCTGGGGTTTTTTTTCTTCCAGATGTATATGGAAGGTCTATACAACAAAGAGAAAGGACAGAGGTGAGGGTATGAGGCAGTCCAGTTATGTGTCTCAAGCTGAGGAAAAACAAGCTCAGTATTGCAAAAACCAATTGGTCATTTATTCAACAGTTACTGACCATCTTCTGTACACCAGACACCCATGTTCTAGGCACTTGAGATACATTTGTTTACCAAAAATAACCACAACAACAATAAACAAACAAAAACAGATAAACTCTGCCTTTACCTAACGGAATTTGGCAGCAGGAGTCAAACAATAATAATAAATATAGGAAATAAGTAAAGTATAACATTAGTATGGCAGAAGGTGATGGAACCTTACAGAAAAAGAATAGAGTAGAGCAGGGTAAAGAGGAGCAGGAGTAGGGATGGGAGGTGGGTTGCAGTTTTATGTAGGGTGATCAGGCAGGCCTCACTGAGAAGGTAAAATCTGAGCAAGGTCTTGAAGGAGGGCGTTAGTCAAGCAAATATCTGGAGCAGGAGAGAACAGCTGGGTCAAAGGCGCTAAGGCGGGCACCAGCAGGAATGGTCCAGTCACAGTGAGAAACCAGTAAGGTAAAACACAGTGAGAAAAGGGCAGGGAAGAAGGACAGGGTTACAAACACATCACAGCACAGATTACACAGGGCCTTAGGCATGGTGAGGACTTTGGCTTTGTAAGGTACAATTAATTTACTCTCCATTTACTTTCCTTTGTTATCCAGGAAACTTAGTCTTTTCTAAATCTTCAAAGACCCTACGCACCATGGGGAATAAAGAGAGAAGTACATCTATAGTCAGTGCAAGAATAAAGTAGTTGCAATCAGCAGCATCCCCAAACCCGAGCCCCAGTCAGCCAACCAGAATGCCAGAGATCCACAGCACATTGTGAATTTAAGGAACTGAGGTGGTATGTAAGGTCTAGGTACCTTGATCCATGTGGAAACTTTACCTGCATTATCAATGCTGAAAAACATGAGCTTATTTCTTGAAAAAGCTATGAGATATTTAGAGTAGAATAAAGAACATGACTTAAGATAACAAAACAATTTCCAAACAAAATACAGTAGATAACTACCCAAAAATGATGGATAATTTCAATAATATCTTAGATAATTCAAGTTACTAAATATCCCATGAATTAGACTAAAATAACATCAAAGATAATTCAACTGTTCTTTAACAATTTATAATTCATTTCAGGATATGCAGTACCTCAAACATCACCATGAACCAAAACAATTACTTTTGGGAAACAAATGCCCATCTTCTGCTTGTTTGTATCATTTATTCTATAAATATTGATTTACCTATGATACAATAGCAAACAAACATCCACAATCTCTAACCCTCATAATAAACCTTGGAGCCTAGCAAGAATACAGGCATTGGAGAGGTGAGTACCCGTAATGAGAGAAAGCACAGGCAGCCACAGGAAGAGACAGCAGGCAACTGTGCCGCCCCCAGGAGGAAGGAAGGCTGTACTACAAACCCACAGCAACTGGCTGAGCAGTTCCGAGGACATCACGGGAACTTTCCCATCTCTCATGAGCCAAAGTAAAAAATCTCAACCATAAGAGGCTGCCACTAATGTGTAGCTGCCCGGCACAGGCAGAGAAAACCAGGGCAAGGCGCAAAGGGGCAACATTCTCGCAGGAGACCACACCCGGTGCACCTGCCACTCCCAACAGGGCTCTGGGCTACCCTGATGGTGACCCCGCCCATGGCAGCATAGCAGATTAATCAGGATGCCGCGCCAGGTGTGCGGGTAATTGACACAGGCAGCGGAGAAGGGCAAGGAAACCAACAAGCAGGAAAGGGCTTTGTTCTCCCAGCTGACACACATGCTACCTGCCTACAGCTACCTCTATCGCCATGAAAAGGCAGAAGAATTTGGTCCAGAACAGAATCACCCAGATAACCCCCAAGAAAGGGCATGGAGAGATAGATTTAACCAATCTTCCTGAAAAAGTATTCAAAATAAAGGTCATAACCATGCTGATGGACCTGCAGAGAAATATGCAAGAGTTAAAGGATAAAGTTGAGAGGGAGAATACAGAAATAAAACAATCTCTGGAAGGACTTAAGAGCAGACTGGATGAGGTGCAACAGGCAGTTAATGGAATAGAAATCAGAGAACAGGAACACAGAAAAGCTGAGGCAGAGAGAGATAAAAGGATCTCCAGGAANGAAGAAAGAGGAAAAGGGATAGAAAGTGTCTTTGAAGAAATAATTGCTGAAAACTTCCCCAAACTGGGGGAGGAAATAGTCTCTCAGAACATGGAAGCCGACAGAACACCCAACAAAAGGGACCCAAGGAGGACAACACCAAGACACATAATAATTAAAATGGCAAAGATCTAATACAAGGACAGAGTATTAAAGGCAGCCAGAGAGAGAAAAAAGGTCACCTACAAAGGAAAACCCATCAGGCTATCATCAGACTTCTCAACAGAAACCTTACAGGCCAGAAGAGAATGGCATGATATATTTAATACAATGAAACAGAAGTGCCTTGAACCAAGAATACTGTATTCAGCATGATTATCATTTAAATATGAAGGAGGGATTAAACAATACCCAGACAAGCAAAAGGTGAGGGAATTTGCTTCCCACAAACCACCTCTACAAGGTATTTAAGAGGGACTGTTCTAGACGGGAGCACTCCTAAGACTAAACAGATGTCACCAGAGAAAATAGAATCACAGCAAAGAGAGCAGACCAAGCAAATACTAACTAAAGACAAAATATAAAATCAAATACTCACAAAAGCAGTCAAAGGACATATAAAAGAGCACAGAATAAAACACCTAACATATAAAGAATGGAGGAGAAGGAATAAGAAGTGAGAGAAATAAAGAATCATCAGACTGTGTTTATAATAGCTTAATAAGAGAGCTAAGTTAGACAGTTAGATAGTAAAGAAGCTACCATTGAACCTTTGGTAACCATGAATCTAAAGCCTGCAACGGCAATAAGTACATATCTTACAATAATCACCCTAAATGTAAATGGACTGAATACACCAATCAAAAGACACAGAGTAATAGAATGGATAAAAAAGCAAGACCCATCTATATGCTGCTTACAAGATACTCACCTCAAACCCAAAGACATACACAGACTAAAAGTCAAGGGATGGAAAAAGATATTTCATACAAACAATAGAGAGAAAAGCAGGCATTACAGTACTTGTATCAGACAAAACAGACTTCAAAACAAAGAAAGTAACAAGAGATAAAGAAGGACATTACATAATGATAAAGGGGTCAGTTCAACAAGAGGATATAACCATTATAAATATATATGCACCCAATACAGGAGCACCAACATGTGAAACAAATAGTAACAGAATTAAAGGAGGAAATAGAATGCAATGCATTCATTCTAGGAGACTTCAACACACTACTCACTCCAAGGGACAAATCCACCAGACAGAAAATAAGTAAGGACAGAGGCACTTAACAACACATCTGTTAAGAAAAGATGGACTTAACAGACATCTACAGAACTCTACACCCAAAAGCAGCAGGATACACACTATTCTCAAGTGCACATGGAACATTCTCCAAAATACACTACATACTTGGCCACAAAAGGAGCCTCAGTAAATTCAAAAAGACTGAAATTCTACCAAACAAATTCTAAGACAGAAAGGCATAAAACTAGAAATAAATTGTACAAAGAAAACAAAAAGGCTCACAAACACATGGAGGCTTAACAACATGCTCCTAAATAATCAATGGATCAACGACCAAATTAAAATAGAGATCAAGCAATAAACAGAGACAAATGACAACAACAGCACAAAGCCCCAACTTCTGTGGGATGCAGCGATGGCAGTTCTAAGAGGAAAGTATATAGCAACCTAGGCCTATTTAAAGAAGTAAAAACAATCCCAAATGAATAGTCTAAAGTGACAATTATTGAAACTGGAAAGAGAAGAACAAATGAGGTCCAAAGTCAGCAGGAGAAGGGACGTAATAAAGATCAGAGAAAAAATAAATAAAATTGAGGAGAATAAAACAACAGAAAAAAAATCAGTGAAACCCACAGCTGGTTCTTTGAGAAAATAAACAAAATAGATAAGCAGCTAGCCAGACTTATTAAGAGAAAAAGAGAAACTACACACATCAACAGAATGAGAAATGAGAAAGGAAAAATCAGGACAGACCCTACAGAAATACAAAAAATTATTAGAGACCACTATGAAAATCTACATGCTAACAAGCTGGAAAACCTAGAAGAAAATGGACAACTTCCTAGAAAAATAAAAACTTCCAAGAATGACCAATGAAGAAACAGAAAATCTAAATGGACCAATTATCAGCAAAGAAATTGAAACGGTAATCAAAAACTACCCAAGAAAAAAATTCCTGGTCCAGATGGATTCACCGCTGAATTTTATCAGACATACAGACAAGACAAAATACCCATTTTTCTTAAAGTTTTCCAAAAAACAGAAGAGGAAGGAATATTTCCAAACTCATTCTATGAAGCCAGAATCACTCTAATACCAAAACCAGGTAAAGACCCCAGAAAATAAGAAAATTAGAGACCAATATCCCTGATGAACATACATGCAAAAATACTCAACAAAATAATAGCAAACCAAATTCAAAAATACATCAAGAGGATCATACACCACGATCAAGTGGGATTCATCTCAGGGATGCAAAGATGGTGCAACATTTGAAAATCCATCAACATCATTTACCACATCAACAAAAAGGACAAAAACCATATGATCATTTCCACTGAAGCTGAAAAAGCTTTGGAAAAAACACAACATCAATTCATGATAAAACCTCTCAACAAAATGGGTATAGAGGGCAAGTACCTCAACATAATAAAGGCCATATATGACAAACCCACAGCCAACATTATACTTGACAGTGAGAAGCTGAAAGTTTTTCCTCTAAGATCGGGAACAAGACAAGGATGCCCACTCTCCCCACTTTAACTCAACATAGTACTAGAGGTCCTAGCCACAGCAATCAGACAACACAAAGAAATAAAAGGCATCCAGATTGGTAAGGAAGAAGTCAAACTGTCACTGTTTGCAGATGACATGATATTGTACATAAAAAACCCTAAAGAATCCACTCCAAAACTACTAGAACTAATATCTGAATTCAGCAAAGTTGCAGGATACAAAATTAATACACAGAAATCTGTTGCATTGCTATACACTAATGATAAACTGGAAGAAAGAGAAATCCAGAAAACAATTCCATTCTCAATTGTATCAAAAAGAATAAAATACATACAAATAAACCTAATCAAGGAAGTGAAAGACCTATACCCTGAAAACTATGGGACACTCTCAAGAGAAATTAAAGAGGACATTAATAAATGGAAATTCATCCCATGCTCTTGGTTAGGAAGAATTAATATTGTCAAATGGCCACCCTGCCTAAAGCTATCGACAGATTCAATGCAATCCCCATCAAAATACCTAAAACATTCTTCAATGAATTACAGAAAATAGTTCTAAAATTCATATGGAATGACAAAAGACCCTGAATAACCAAAGTAATCCTGAGAAGAATAAAGCAGGGGGAATTATGCTCCCTGACTTCAAGCTCTACTACAAAGCCACAGTAATCAAGACAATCTGGTACCTGCACAAGAACAGACCCATAGACCAGTGAAACAGAATAGAGAGCCCAGATATAAATGCAAGCATATATGGTCAATTAATATATGATAAAGGAGCCATTGATATACAATGGGGAAATGACAGCCTCTTCAATAGCTGGTGTTGGCAAAACTAGACAGCTACATGTTAAGAGAATGAAACTGGATTATTGTCTAACCCAATACACAAAAGTAAACTCGAAATGGATCAAAGACCTGAATGTAAGTCATGAAGCCATAAACTCTTAGAAAAAAATATAGGCAAAAATCTCTTGGACATAAACATGAGCAACTTCTTCATGAACATATCTCCCAGGGCAAGGGAAACAAAAGCAAAAATGAACAAGTGGGACTATATCAAACTAAAAAGCTTCTGTACAGCAAAGGATATCATCAGTAGAACAAAAAGACATCCTATAGTATGGGAGAATATATTCATGAATGACATATCTGATAAGGGGCTGACATCCAAATTATATAGAGATCACACACCTCAACAAAGAAAAAGCAAATAAGCCAGTTAAAAAATGGGCAGAGGAGCTGAACAGACACTTCTCCAAAGAAGAAATCCAGATGGCCAACAGGCACATGAAAAGATGCTCCACATAGCTAGTCATCAGAGAAATGCAAATTAAAACCACAATGAAGTATCACCGCACACCAGTTAGGATGGCCAACATAGAAAAAAATAGGAACAACAAATGCTGGAGAAAGGGGAACCCTCCTACACTGCTGGTGGAATGTAAACTAGTTCAACCATTGTGGAAAGCAGTATGGGGGTTCCTCAAAAATCTAAAAATAGAAATACCATTTGACCCAGGAATTCCACTCCTAGGAATTTACCCTAAGAATGCAGCAGCCCAGTTTGAAAAAGATATATGCACTCCTATGTTTATCACAGCACTATTTACAATAGCCAAGAAATGGAAGCAACCTAAGTATCCATCAGTAGATGAATGGATAAAGAAGAGGTGGTACATATACACAATGGAATATTATTCAGCCATAAGGAGAAAACAAACCCATTTGCAACAACATGGACGGAGCTAGAGGATATTATGCTCAGTGAAATAAGCCAGGCGGAGAAAGACAAGTACCAAATGATTTCACTCATCTATGGAGTATAAGAATAAAGCAAAAACTGAAGGAGCAAAACAGCAGCAGACTCATAGAACCCATGAATGGACTAACAGTTATGAAAGGGAAAGGGACTGGGGAGCATGGGTGGGAAGGGAGGGTTAAGGGGGAAAACGGGGCATTAGGATTAGCACACACACATAACGTAGCAGGGGGAGGGGACACGGGAAAGGCAGTATACCACAGAGAAGACAAATAATGATTCTATAGCATCTTACGGTGATAGACAGTGACTGTAATGGGGTATGTGGGGGGGACTTGATAATAGGGGGAGTCTAGTAACCATAATTTTGTTTAAGTAATTGTACATTAACGATATCAAAATTAAAATTTTAAAAAAATATACAACAGATAGTTTCCAATTCCATATACACACAAAATCCACAACTTAAAAAAAATTCGAATCCATTTATATTACAACAATGAGATTACTGAGAACTTAAATGCAACTGGACTAAACAGGCTACTTTTCTCTCTCTCTCCCTCCGGGGAAAAGTTAACCTGCACGCTAAAGCATCCCCAGAGGCCTGGAGAAACTGGTCCAAGCACAGAGGCAGAAGAGGCGGAGCGCAGCCCTCCCTCCCTCTCCTTCCCCCGGGACCGCGTCGGGCGGCGGACTCCAGCCTACCTGACCGGCTCCCGCCACCGCTTGAACCAGCTGCAGCAGTTGTCCATCAGACTGAACATCCCAAGCCGCTCCCCCCGCCGCCTCCCATCCGAGCCCAGAGGGATGGACACCGACTGCCTCGGGCAGAGCCCGGGAGCCGCCTCTGCTCCGAAGCGCCCCGCAGCAGTAATGGCCCTGGGAAAAGGCCGGCAGGACGCTGAAGGCGGTCAGCCAGAGCACCAAGCCCAGTAACCGTGCCCACCCACGAGCGCACAAGGCGCTCCCCGCCCAGGCTGAGCTGTGCGAAATACACAGTCACACACACACACAAGGCAGGTTAGCCGGGCCCCGCCAGAGAAAACCCGGCGCCGACGTGCTGACGTTCCTCTCACGCGCGGAAGGCCCGCCCCAAGCACCGCCCATGCACTGTCCCAATCACCGTTACAAGACCCGCGGCGGAGGCCTGTGAGTGGCTGGAGGGGCCCGGCTCATCCCCACCCGAAAGGTGGAAGGATGAAAGGGGCGTGGTTTAGAGGAGGAGGCGGGGCTGCGGAGGAGGTATTTCTCGTAACTAGGCAACGGAGAGCGTCCAGACGTCTGTTGAGGAACAATTAGGCAAGGCTTTTTTTTCAGTATACCTAGGGTGCTGCGTCTCATCTGTCTCCAACTCTAACTGAGACCCAGAAGTCTCAAGTCTAGCGCGTGTTTTGTTTTGTTTTCTAAAGCGGGGGTGGGGATCCTTTGGGATCCTCGCAGACTGGTTGCACAACTACAGAAACAATACACTGGAGCAATTATTGTAAGTTAAGGACAAGGAAAAAATTCATTTGCTAACTGTCCAGTAATTCAGAAGAGAGTGGTATTTTAATAATGTTTAATCAGTTTAATGTTTATCCCTGCTTGTTACTTAAAAGTGATATAGGATTGTGTATTTATTATGTGAGGGGTTATGATTACAAAAAAAAACATGTTCTTTGTAGAAAATGTGAAAAATAGTGAAAAACGATGAAGAAGAAATCTCATACGCACTACCCAAAGAAAACCATTGTAAACGTTTTGATGTATGTTCTTTTCAGGATTTTTAGTTACAGGAATTGCTAGCTGTTTGGTTTCTTCAAGATGGAGATCATGATATACTGGTGGTTGTTTGATATATTTTGTTTTATTTAAAGAAATATGTAATATCTGCATTTCTTTTTATATTATTTGAAAAGAAATAATAAGTACATTCCTTATAGGGAAAAAATGCATGCACAATATGTAGGGACCTGTGTCTCCATTCAGTATCAACATAAATACATATTTTCAAATCCTAGTAAAAGGAGAAAGGGCCCTGAGAAGCCCAGTGTATACAGGGAAAAATAATGGTTTGGGACTAAGACAGATCTAGTTTTAAAATCTCTGTCCTTTACTACTCATGTAACCTTAATTCAGACTCCTATAGATCTCTTACAGCTTCCTGTCTCTATAGCCAGGTACCCCATCTGTAAAATGGAATGAAAATACCTACTTTGCAGGTTTGCTAACATAATAAATGAGAGAAATAAACCTCAAGTGTGATTTCTAACAGATAATAGATAGCAGATCATGAAGTTGGTGTCACCTGTCCCATAAACATTTATGGCAGATATCCTCCTACTTCTTTCTTCAAATTGTTAGGGATCTTATTCACTGTTCTCATTGTTGACTTCGTAACTTCAGTTTTCTTTCCAGTTTCTTTCCACTTGCTCAAGGCTATATGACCTCTACTGGTTTTGTTAGTTGGACCTGACCTTCCTCCTCAGTGCAAGATGCTGCCTCTGCTGGACTGTCCTGTCTAGACACTGTAATACCTCTGTTTTATAGTAATAAAGAAGAAATTTAGATGATATCCTCATGAATTTTCTTCTTTCCTGTTATCTTTGTTTCCTCTTATTTTCTAATATATCATGACATCCACCTCCTCTTTTGCAAGGATAACCACTTTCCTGAGACTTTGACAAACCTCATTTTTCAATTTTCTGAAATCCTGCCCTTTGATTACTTCTTGATCCAACATCCTAAAAATATCCCTCCTCATTTTTTCTTAGATATTTGGCTACAATTTCCAAGGTAATTAAAGAATGGGTAAGAGAGCAGGGCAGGATAAAGACACAATTTCCTCTTAGCTTTGAGTCAAGGTAATACTATTCTGCTCACTCTACTTTCACAATCCAATTTCTTAAACTCATGGTTTGAGATCATTAAAGCATAAATATTTTTGCTATTCACTTTATCAATTTACTGTGATTGGGCTTCTGTCCCATCAAACTACTCAAAACACATTTTTTTCTGGATGTAACATGTCTTCCTAATTGCTAATTTCCTACATCTTCCTAATTTTCATTTGCATCACTTAATGCATTTAGTTAATTTCTCAGAAACTTTCCTCCTTTGGCTTTTCACAATTATTCATTTTTCTGGTTCTCTTCTGGTCTCATTGGTCATTCCTCCTCAAGTTCCTATACGTATTCTCCAAGATCCAACCTTATTCCCCTGTTTTTTAAAGGCATGTTCTCTTGAAGAATCCAATGACTATTTGTGTGCCTAAAGGGCCATGCTATGCAGTTGTAGCTTGAGCATTTCTGGAGTAACACTTAACACCCTAACTTTTCCAAAAATATACTCAACCCCAGCTCTTCTTCATGTCTTCCCTACTTCTGATAGGGATATATTACCAAACATTTCTGGTGCTCACATACAGCTGGTCATTTGGTTAACTAAATTGACTGTAAGGTTTTCAATATAAAGTGATTTGGTAGACAAGTGCAGCCCACTGTTTCCAATCCTCTTTCTTTTTACAAGCACATGAGATAGTTACTCCCACCCTCTTCAAATCACGGAATGTTCTTTGTCCAGTAATACGTGAGGGTAGTAGTTGTGTCACCTCTTGGTGAAAGCATTTCAGAGCTGGTACACAGTTTTCCACATTATCTCTTCTTTTGCAATGGTAATTATGGAAGACTGTTAACTTTAAGTACTATAAAATCAATACAGTATGGAATGCTAAGCTAACACGTGGAAGACAGCTACCTGGAAAGACCTCCAGTTGACTTCCAGTGAGCAAGATATAAACTCTTACCTTAAACCATTGCAATCTGTGACTTTTTTACCACAGTATAATCTAATTTATTCTGAATGATGAAAATAATCTTGCTGTCATTCTAGTTAAGACTTGGTTTCATCACCCAGGCACTGTGGAAATTACCTCCTAAATATTACTTGGTTTCTTTTTTCCCCCAGCTTTATTTAGGTATAATTGATAAATAAAATTGTAATATATTTTAAAGTGTACAATGTGATTATTTGATATATGTATATGTATACAAAGTGAAATGATTCCCACAATCAAGTTAACCCATCACCTTACATTGTTACTTTTTTTTTCTTCTGGTGAGAACACTTAAGATCTATTCTCTTAGCAAATTTTGAATATACAGTACAGTACAATTAACTATAGTCACCAGGCACTACATGAGATCCTCAGAACTTACTCATCTTTTAATTGAAAGTTTGCACCCTTTAAGCAGCTTCTCCCTATTTCCCCACCCCCAGAGCCCAGCAACCACCATTCTACTCTCTGTTTCTATGAATCTGACTTCAAGTTTCTACATATATATGATCTCGAATAGTATTTGTCTTTGTCTGGTTTATTTCACTTAGCATAATTCCCTAATGTTGTATCTTTATCCATTCATCTGTAAAAGGACACTTAGTTTGTTCCCACATCTTGGCTATTGTGAATAATGCTGTAATGAACATGGGGTACAGGTATGTCTGAGGTAGAGATTTTGCCTCTGGATTATACACAGAAGTGGCACTGTTGGATGATATGGTAGTTTGAGTCTTAATTTCTTGAGGAAACTTTATGCTGTTTTCCACAGTAGTTGCACCAATATACATTCCCACCAAGTGTACAAGGGTTCCCTTCTCTCCACATTCTCACCATCAGTTATGTCTTTACAATGTTACTTGGTTTCTAATCTTTGTCTGCCCTGTTCCATTTTGTAATCATTCACAAGGTAACATTCTTAAAGTACAATCATGAAAATCACTTTTTCTAAAACAAACATACAAACAACAAACAAAACAAGACCAGTCTTCAGTGCCTGTGGTTTAACTATTTAAGCCTGACTGTTAGTTTTCACCAAGCAATATCAGAAAACTCAATAAAAGGAAAATGATACATAATCCCACTACAGGAAATGATTACTGTTGATATTTTGTCATAAATATTCCCAGGCTTGTATTGTTAAACTGAATTTAGTTGAATGTTTATGTACCAGTCATTGTTCTAAGCACTTAGAATATAGTTGTGGAAAAAAAAATTCCTGCCCTCATGGAATTTATATTCTAGTGGCAGGGAGGAATAAAGAGGTGGTTAATAAACAAAAATGAGACAATATATTAAAAATGTAAAAAAGGACAAGGAAAAGGGATTAGGATTACTACTGGGAAGGGGATTAAATTAGCTGTTAAATTTTGGATGGGATTCAATTGCATATTTATAACTATTCTGAAAACAAATTTTGGCCAAGTGAATTGACCAAGCGTTAATCACTAATGAGCTAAAGTCAGATATCAACTTCACAGAGTGAACTTCCGAGATAAATTAAAACCTTAAAATTTTATCCAAAAATGTGTTATTAAACTTTGTCACTAAATACTTCAGTATATGACTTTTCAAAAGTTGACATTGCAGCGTATGTAGATAGCACACACAGTTTTTCAGCACTGACAAGTATTGTTAGCACTGTGATACACATTTTTTGTATCAAGATACTCATTTTCAATTGAAGTCTTTAGGAAAGTAACATTTTTCTTTCAGGTACCTTATGTTTCTCTAACATGCCCTTCTTCAAACTCTATTTATGTCTGTTTTGGAGATTATTTGTTATGAAATGTTGTTGATTCACGGTTTGGGAAGTTTTCCCTTCTTGCAAAATTTTGACATCTCAAAATCAGTGCTCTGCTATTTCCTCCTCACAAGATGAGGAGATGCCCAAATTGAGCCTTTACTTCAAAGACTCATGGTCTAAATGCATTTAAATATTGAACAATTAAATGAATTAATGACTTAAAGATCACTGTGTTTAATGTTTTGATTGCTAGCACACCATCAATTCTACACAGATAAGTATCATATTTATAATTAAATCACTCTGGGCTGGGAATAAGGTGGGGAATGGGGAATAGATTGACATGGTAGAGACAGACACAGAAAGAAGGAAGATATTTTAAAAGAGCGAAGTGTCTTTTATGTTCAATAATTCCACTGCAAATGTTATCGGAAAAAGTGTCTCTAATATCACCTTCCATCCAAGTGGATCACAGAACCATAGAAAGGTGGAGGTGGAAGAGACCC